CCTTGTACCTTGACTACTGTAGCTCGACGCTCGGGATTATTGCTCGTTGGTTCGACTTCAACATCTGAAGCATCTGGTGAATGTCTCTGTTTCGCAGCCCCATGTCCACTGGAGCTTAACACGGATGGTGGTAGGGGTTGGATGTTATCAAACTCGTGATCAGAATCCGAGCCCCGGTAACTGTCGCCGTTGTTCTCCTCGATGCGAGGAGAGTCCGGCAAGGGCTTAGCGAGAGGGGTTGTCATGTTTGATGTGCTTTCATGATCTGTCGGTGCACGTGGGGAACCCTCCGTTTCTATGACGCCTTTGAACAGGCGACTTTTAAGCTTATCAGGAATAGGTTCTTCCAAAGTTTGCGACTTCTCAAGAGCATTGTCATGATCTGATATTTTCGATTTCGTGCTCTCTTTTTTTTTCTTCGGAGTGGACGCACGGCGCTCTGCTCTAACCTTAAGCTCTTGAGCAACCACGTATTGGATGATCCTCCATGTTTGAGCGAGCCTGTATAACGAGACGTCCTCTGCACGATCGGCATTGTTAACAAGGCTTATGTGCAGGCTCTCCAGTGAGCTCGACGAAGAACCCTTGCTATCAGAACTCTCCATTAGAGATGAATAGTGCTTAGCAAGATATCTAAATGTCTCCGGGTCGAATGTCGCACCGGGAACACTGCCCATAGCTCCAATCTGACTCGGCTCAAAAATACCACTATGTGCAATGGCTTTTTCAAGAGATATAACGGCAGGACTGTCTTCTGACATCGGAGAAGTTCCACTCAATGACTTGGAGCTTCTAGCATAAGCACTTTTGTTGGTTCTTCTCCTCAACGAAGAAAGAGCAGACTCATCTAGCGCATCATCTGTCAGGCTGAGGCTGGCTGTCCCTTTTTCGCTGCTACTTGGCTTTCCTGACTTGAGGCCTAAAAATTCCGCTGGACCTAAGCTCATGTTCAATCCCCGCCTTGATGGGTGTTTGTGATTCACAGCGATAATGTCTCCGTTTGGGCTCCATGCTGCAGAACAAGGTTTCCGGCGCTGAATCACCTGGGGTGCAAATTTGATGTCTGTTTGGGTGAAATTGCCATCGCCGTCTACTGTCCATAGTAGCTCACTTGAGTGCCACACCAGATCAGTGGGTGGCCGATTGTAGCGATCGATCTCCTTAAACGGGATATGAGGCCTGCGTAGATCCCATATATGAATTCGGGGATCCTCATAGTCATAAGAAGTTACAATTTGCGTGGACTGCCAGTTTGCGACTTCCTGATTCTCCAAAGCCCACGAAGGGGGCCGCCAGCGCACGTTGTGAAGAGCCTGCGGAGCGCGGAGCTGAAAACAAGGCTTCTGTCTCCGATCTGTAGTTGAAAAGTCCCATACCTTAATTTGCTTATCAGTACCGCCACTTACAACATGTTTTCCGTGCGGGTGCCAGTCGATTGAAAAACAGGCCTTTTCGTGGGCATTGATCTTCATCAGCGGGGCATTGTCCTTTCGAACATCCCAGCGGTGGATAGCACCACTATCTGTAGCTGTCGCAAATTCAACGCCATCAACCGGCGACCACATAAGATCTCTGACAGCCTCGCTATGGCCATTGAACCTTATTTTACTACCAAAACTCATCGCACCCCTTTCACCCGACACCATCCGCAAATCCCACATCCGGATAGTGGCATCTTGGCTGCCAGAGAGAAGCCATGCCCCGCGATGGGGGTTGAATGCTAACTTGTGAACTTGACGATTATGTTCTTGGAGCCGGCCCAATTCGAGTCCCGGCCTGTTCAAGTCGTAGAGAACTATGCGCCCATTGGCAGCAGCTGTAGCAATGATGCGGTCATATTCCCCGTGAGACCACTTGACATCCTTTGCGGCAAGCTGGTCCTTGTGCTTTGCAGACAAGGCACCCGTTGAAACCTGCCGGGTGGAATGATACGATAAAATAGCCTCGCGCAGGTCAAATTCTTCCGCGCAGCTGTCGGGCGCTACGCGGATGGTCTTGAGGATCCCGCGTCCTGCGATAATGGCGTGTGTTCGTTGGGGCGAGATGTCAAGGGCAGCAATATGAACGTTGGTGTTTAGCGCGACGGTTTGTGAGGGAGTAGGTCTAGATAACGTAACACGTATAAAAATGATCGTGTTAGAGATAAGGATGTATTCGCGCTGTACAATAGCGGTAAAACAACAAATGAAATGGCACGTGGCTCATGCCAATGCACCGCAACTTACCGCACTGGAGGGTGCAAGGGGTGAATGACAACCAGCGCCTCCTGCGGAGCACTTGGCTGAGGGCTTGGTGGCCTGGAGCCGTAGATGAAAGGATGTGCGAACCGCGCAAAGGCGCTTGTGGCCCGGTTGGTATATCGGTGGGAGGATAGTGAGGGCGCATGTGGCGGAGGGGGATGATTAAGTGCTGAAGGGGGAGCAGCGCCAGACTGAGATTCGCTTTGGCGGGACTCGGACATCTTGGAAGCTCAGATCCAGGCGGCTGAGCAGTCCGGTGACGACTGCGGATCCATCTCTACCGCAGCTGCTGGGATGAGAAACAGAGAGGAGTGGGAGGCAGCAGACAGCACCAGATTCACGGAGGCAACAGAGATCCAATGGGTCTTGTGACTGCCGCGTAACGGGCAACATGAACAAGGTTGAAAGTGCAAGGTGAGGAAGCTCTTAGCAGGTTCCGAAAAGGTGGCAAAGCTTCGTGGACCGTGGGGGATGAGGGGTATGAACTAGTTCAGCTGAGATGGTGGTCCTGGTGGATAGAGAGCGTGGTGCCTAGTGGGTGTTGTTGAGATGGGATGTGAGGTGCGTGCAGGTGGGAGGGTCCAGGTGCAGAAGTCTAGGCAAGAATCTGGCGCGGAAGTTTGTCAGCCAAGCCAGGCCGCCGATGACAAGGAACTAGTTAGTTAACTACCGCAATGCCTCCTGGCCTATCAGCTCTGAGAAGTCCACCTCTGAGAAAGACCCTGCTCACACCAAGTCAGTCAACACAGTTGATATAAGACATGCGATGTTCTAGAATCGCATTGCTCTGTGCGCAATTAGCTTTATCCTTCTTACTGGAGGGATTCATGATTCGCAGGAGGTGTGGACCCTGCATTGGTCGGCCTTAGGGCTTCCAAGACATACATACATGACGAGGGGCACAGAACCCAACATGACAGCTCAAATCTATATTGGAATATGCAAGGACAAAAGGCGTGAGGATTCCATTGACTAAGATGAGGGGCTCTGTAGACCGAGAACAGAAAATAATTAATATCCATGAATGTAATTAACTAACTCTACTCTAGGCCTTCGTCGCTCTTCTCGACTCAAACTTCTCAATTCATGTCTTGTACTTACAACCAATAATTTGGAAATCGGCCCTATTTCCTCCCCAGTTACAACCCCACAGAGCTTCCGCCACCAGCTTCAACACAGGGACTCGACCCTTTCCGCTGCAGCAGAGGGAGCTTTGACCGTCGTCGACAGGGTCCAGTTAAAGTTCCCTGTTAAAGGTATGGCTGCCTCAGGCCGCTATGTATTTCAAGGCCCCCCCCCTTGTAGGTTGTAATTCAGCAGATGGATATCCATTCACATGGCGAATATAGATATTGACAAGGTTTATAGATATCGCTTTTCACAGTGGCTGGCCAGAAGAATACTTTCCGATAGTGAAGTTTGTCAGCTGTGTATCTCCCAATCAACACTTTGAGATAAAAATATCGATTCTTTGGGATATATAGAGAAAAAGGTATCTAAGTAATGCAGAAGAAAGCTTCTGTCAATATTGAATATAGTGGAATGTGTAAAATTATATATTCATGCATGACTTGGTTAATTTGGTCGAAAACTTTTGATTGGTTTTTCTTTTTCACCAAAAGCTGGCACAGAATCATAAAACACTGATATCTATGCTGCGATTTATCCAGCTTCGAAGAAAAATGAAAGCATCCTTCTTTTAATACAGGGCTTTTCCCATTCATGATGATCCATGTAAATGGAGCCATCGACAAATTCCATAGGCACAATTGAAGAGATGGCTTTCTTGCTACTCGGGCTGCGACCCACATTGGGATATATGTAGCTTAAAGCCGTGAATCTCACTTTGCATATCAGTTTGGCACGTTTGTACCTCTTCCCCCATACTCTTCTGACGGTCGTAACCGCCCAGATACCCAAAGCAGTTTCATGGTGAGGAGGAAATACATTTCATTCAACCCCCCCAATGTTACGCGGTGTAACCAACCCACCTGAATTGACTGTGTTGATTTATTTCTGATAAGCAAAACGATTGTCAATGGACTTGGATCCTACCGATGCGCACGGCACGGCTGATCTGGGCGGTTCCTATGCTGGAATTCGTCCTCCAAGCAGTGAGGATTGAGGACGGGGAATGGTCTGCGCTTTAATACCATGTCCCTAGAGAGATGAGTTCGGAACGGTTGAATCATTTGTGTGGAAATTATCACAACTAGCAAACACCCGGCCATACTCATTCATATCTCTTCCGGCATGTCTTGGTATTATTTAATTAGAAGAGCTTAGTACTCAGAAGAGTGTGACTTAGAAAAAAAAAAAAAAAAAAAAAAAGCAATTCGCAACCGGTTGAAATGAGGGTCCAGATCTGGATTTAGCGTAACTAAGTTTGTAACTTATAATGCGGCAGGCCGATAGTTCCCAGGACGGGAAAGTAAACGGACTTCCCGCAGACAGGTCAAAATGGGCAAGTTCCATGGAAACTTTGCGAGGTTTTACAGGCAACATCTGTTCCGGGGATAAATAAAGGTGTCTGTAGGCGAATCAACTAGGAGTAGCCTGTATTGAGCAGTGAGAAAAATGACGGCTCTCAATATCCTCCAGTTTGGTTTTATTGTGCATGCAGGTAAAGAGTCCAGCATATATATATATACAGACGCTGTATAAATGCTATTGGGGAGGAGTCCTATTGTAAGAATAATCATGAATTAACTTTATCCCATGATACTTCCGAGAGTGGAGTGATTCTAGACCCCGTGGCTGGCAAACGGCCCCCAGGGATCATCAATTTTGAAGTCCGAAGAGGGTATTTTAAATTCGGCGGTCCTTAAGTTAGCCGTGCATGCAAGATAGTCGCGTGAGCGAGCGCCCGATGAGCAGTGGCCGCCCATCAAGGAAGAATTTTAAACTTCCGCCCCCAGTACATGACCTTCCTCCTTGTCAGGAAGGTCGGGCAATGCTTCAATAAATGAATTAAGGCAGAAACCAGCATACATTTTTTATGGTGGGAGTAGAGGGGGTGTGCGGTTTGGATACAAACGAAGGAAATGTGATGCATCAGAGGGCGGGTGACAAAAAGTGACATAACTGAGCCCTTGCCATGCATGGGTTTGACCACAACATGAATGAAAGAAAAGGGCCGGGGGGGGAATAATAACCTGGGAGTGACGACTTTCCCTAAAGGCCCTCTCACATCTGTTTTTCAATCACAGTCGCATTCAAGAAATGGCACTACTACAGCGTAAGCGGCCGCGACCACTCTCTGGCCATTCCAATCATCAAGGAGTATTTCTTTTTCCATCCTTTGAACAATCGAGACGTCCGAGATGGGCTTGGGGGGTGACCAAGCGCCAGCAGAATTACGTCGACGAGAGCCAGACCCAAGTCCCGGCTCCACGGATCATCGGACAGGGCACGGCCATACAGCAATTTACACGAAGTCAGCCGCTTCGGGTGGTAGGGAGAACGACCAGAATCAGCCCGTCAGCATGCAGAATTGGGTAGTTAGTGATTGAATTCTGTTTTTCTGTGTTGAATTTTTTTTGTCGTTCTCAGTTTGCACTTGTTCTCTTGAGTTGGTCACTTTATTTTATCTCGTTTTATCTTCTTGAAGCTCTTTGTCAAAAGAGGCAAGACAAGGTATTTCTTTTTAACAGTTGGCGTTACAGCGCAATGTGCGGTCTCCGTCGCCGCTTGGCTTGGCCCCGCAGGGGGGGGGTTCATGGAATGTACAGCGTTCTGGGCTTGGAGCAAAGCCATTGATAAAAGTGATAAAAATTAGAATGAAAAATTTCCTTTGCTTCTCTAATTTCTATCTTCCAATTTTTGTGGACGCTTGTTCCTCGCAGCCAGGCACTGGTGTAAGAAGAGCATGAGGGGAGGGTTCGGGCAGCGCGATTTGTGCCTGAAGAATGAGAAAAGGAGCCGTCTTCTTACCGCTTCTATGGGATTGGATTAATCCCAAAACAATCTTGCCCGCAGCCTTCATAAGTCAAGGTATGTTTTCTTGTTCCTTTTTAGATATGATATACCACAATCAATGAAGTTTTCTTAAAATACCCCAATTGAAATCCGGACGGTGATGCAAATTGTTTTTTTTCCCCGACGATGCAGGTTGATTAGCAACGGAAGTACACTGTACGAGTAGCTAAGGCCAAACTGACTGGGTCGTGGACTACTGGCGAATGATATTTTCGCCTCATGCAGCACCAATTTTCATGTGTTTGTTGTCGGTGATTGATAAAATACGCCTCCTCCATCACTTTGCCGCCATCCTACCATCCATACCACAAGGTTGCGCTAGCTACAGCAAGATGATGCATCGACTAGAAAAACTAGCCATTTCACATCCCCATCAAGCCCCGGGTCTAAACAGGATTGTATTTTCTGACATGCCTAACGATGCGAGATCGACCGTGGCAGCCACGAGCAGCATGAAAACTGATTGCAGCAGCATTGCTGTTGAAATAGGCATAGTTGTATGCAAGAGATCATAGCCGTAAGCGAGGGAAGAAGAAAAATAACTTAGCTGGAGATTCGATAGTTGATAGGCTTAGCGGACATCAATTCTAGCCAACGCAAACCGCACACGACCAAGAGTAATATTTCTTCGTATGATACACAAATTGACAACAAAGCAACCTTGGAAGGCTTAGTTGGCGTAAGGGAATGATTCCTTCGAGTGCCGTAGTAGTCGTAAAATTCGAAGGTAGCTACTCTGTAGCGCGCGAAATATAAGAAAGCTGAAGTCTTGAAATCGCTAGTTACCTCAGCAGTGCATATTCAAGGAAATGCATCTCATCTATTCTCGAAATCCCAGTAGTTTTTTTTTTTTTTTTTTTTTTTTTTTTTTTTTGCCGTCCCACCCTGCGATTGCGGCTCCGTGATCATTCCACCCCGAGATCTTGGTCGCAAATGATCCGTGAAGTACTCAGTATGTTCCTGCCCTCGATATTATCCTTGGCTTGAATGGGCTGCTGACCGGTAGCGCGCATCACGCAACAGAACAGACGGAGCAGGAACACCTTGACGAAATCCCAAATCCCCACTCCCCACTCCCCACCCCCACTGCGGCGGCGGCACAGGCCCAGCGTTTACGCGCTGCAGCTGGTTACCGAGTACAGGGAAAAGCGAACAGCGGCCAGGCCACGCGCAAGAACCGGCTATCCCAGCCATCCCTGCTAGCCTGGAGGTCTCCGTGTCTCCCCGACTGGCGTGTCATTGGCGACGAGGAATCTTTTCTGCCGGGGCCACTGAAGCGGCCTCACCGCCTTATATAGCTCCTGCGACCGCTCACCGACTCGTCTGCAAAAAAAATAAAAATAAAAATAAAAATAAAAATAAAATACACCGCCCGACGAATCACCACGCTGCAAAAGGGGCTTGGAGGGTTGGGGAAATAGGGAAGTTCAAGGGAAAGGTAGCAGGGGAACGGGAACAGGCCTGAGAGGGAGAGGAACCTACGACGGGGGAGGAGGTGCGGGAGAGATCCGCAAGAATCACAATTGATTTATTGATTCAATTGAATAAATAGGTTGTTTGTTGGGTTCTGCCGTTTGTCTGGTTCGGCCTATTCCACTCGGCCTGAGTCTGATATATAATTTTTTTGCCCCAGCGCAGGTCCCGTGCCGCTGGAGATCTTATCCATAGATCGAAGCCAACCTTCCCAAGCTCCAGCGCCTCGGAAAGTCCGACCAACTCCCGCCACACCCCCATAATTAATTCCTTCCAGACTTTCTTCTGCCTCTTCATTTCTCTTTCTCTTCCTTCTTCTCTTCTTCTTCTCCTTCTTTTCTCTTCCCCTTCTTTTCTCTTCTCCCTCTTTTGTTTCCCCACGCCTCATCCTGTACTCTAACCCATATTGGGCTCCTCTTCATTACCGATCCTTCTGCACCGAAGCTACTCTCGCGATAGCTGTGCTCGAGCATCAGAGTGTTCCTTGGTCCTTCCCTATCGCTGAATTTTTGTCTCCCATCATTCTCCTGAGCTGATTCCGCCCATGACTCTTCTTTCCTTCTCTCCACTGCAGTAGTAGCAGGGTGGCTCTTTCCTCTCCGCCGCAGTTTCCTGGAGTTCGGCAATCCGCCCAGGTCCCCTTCGCTTGTTTACCGCTTTTTGTACACGCCCAATTCGCTTCCGTGGCTCGAACAACGCTGACGCCAAAATTGATACTTTGTCTTCTACTCTCATTATCTCTCTCCCCGCGCTCTTTCGAAAGTCTTCACCTCTGCGCCTGGCCATAGTCTCATCTGTTTAGCTGAGTCCAGAAGTGAGACAATCGGCAATTCACCTATTCCGGCTACTATTTCGTTCCCCGACGACTTCAAACCTGCACCCGTTCGGCTCGAGCTCAATATCGTTTGTTCAGCTTCGTAACTAGTCGTTCTGCAGCATTACACATTTTTGAAGCCCTAGTGGTTTTGTCATGGAAGCGGATTGAACGCGGGAGGCTCTTTTCCTTTTCTTCTTTTTGTTTTGCGGGCTTAGCATTGGAATTGTTGCTAGAGGCAGAATGGATTTCTCCGGCAGTGCTGGCAGCGCGCCATCATTTTCCCACACCGAGATCAGGAGACTTCTAGATTACACCAGGTCGATATCCCCTGTGATCATTGTTGTTGTCTTCCTCTTAGCGTTTGTATCCCGCTCTATCATATCGGCCAGGAAAGTACCTGCCCATCCTCCCGCCATTCGAACAGGACCAGGTGGTCGACCGCTACCGACGCGCATGCGGAGTACTGCCGTGTTTGCTCCACCTGTGTCTGATTTCTCTCCAAATGCTAAGTTGACATTCAAGTGGCTGTCAGTGGGTGTTTTGCTTACATTTGTCGCCGATGCGGCTATTACTATGACACACGTCATCGTAGATCGTCAAATGCATTGGTGGTGTGGTCAATCCAGAGTGGTGAGACCCCAATATTCTTTTTTTAACTTTGATGCAAAATTTCGCAGCTGAATTTTGTCACTAACAAATGAATTTTAGATTTACATCGTGTTTTCGTTTTTCGCATATACCGTAATCCTAATTTCGCTCGTGGATACAACACCCTCACCGACTTACGCCCAACTGCTTCCTTGGACCCTCACCATACCATTGGAATTGATAATATTGGGCGGTTGTTTGGCCCTTTACACATCCCCTCACCATGAGCCAATTGTTGGGAATCCTGCTGGTGGTCCTCTAAGGAATACCATGACCTCCTGGGAAACAGTGGAAATAATAATTGCTGTAGTGAGGGTTCTTACCTTGCTTGGCATTGTTGTTTTCTATACCCTAAATTCCATTGGATGGGAAAGCCGTCGTCGCAAAGATACTGCACGGTTCGCTTCCAGGGAGGCTTCAGAGACCACAAGGTTGTTAAATGGTCATCTTAGCGGAATGAATGGTGATGGCTACGGGTCATCTCCCAACCGAAAACATGATCCAGATCCTAAACCAGCAGAGGACGCCTGGGTTCGACCGACTACTGTACCTTCAACCAGCTGGTGGGAATATCTCAGCGGCTATTCCTTATTTTTTCCTTACCTCTGGCCATCCAAATCGCGACGGCTGCAGCTGACAGTTGTAGCCTGTTTTTTCCTGGTCATTCTCCAGCTTGTCATCAATGTCATGGTTCCCATTCAGATTGGTAGAATAACCAACGTCCTCTCCGGAGAGACTGGAGAAGAATTTTACATTCCATGGCGTGGCATTTGCCTCTATGTTTTCTTCCGTTGGTTACAGGGGAGTCAGGGCTTAATCGGTTCCTTGCGCTCCTTTTTATGGATTCCTGTTGGACAGTATTCATACATGGAACTGTCAACAGCTGCTTTTGAACATGTTCATAGCCTGAGTCTCGATTTCCATCTAGGCAAAAAGACTGGCGAAGTGTTGTCGGCATTAAGTAAAGGCAATTCTATCAACACGTTCCTCGAACAGTTTACGTTCCAGGTTGTGCCCATGCTGATCGATCTCTGCGTCGCTGTGGGTTATTTTTGGATTGTTTTCGACGTATACTACGCCCTAGTAGTGGCAATCGTTACTTTTATCTACCTCTATGTGACCATTCGCATGGCGCAATGGAGGGCCGCCATCCGCCGCCAGATGGTCAATGCGAGTAGGCAAGAAGATGCTGTGAAGTGAGTGGATCCTATTTCGAAGATTACTCGGAAAATCTCTGCTGACTGACGGACTCATTTTCTATAGAAACGATTCGATGGTGTCTTACGAAACCGTGAAATATTTCAACGCAGAGCAGTACGAATTTGGCCGGTATCGTGGAGCTGTTACCGATTTCCAAAAGGCCGAGTATCATGTTTTATTTTCTCTGACGCTAATGAATACCTGCCAAAATACTGTCTTCATGCTGGGACTGCTGATCACATGCTTCCTCGCTGCCTATCAAGTTGCAACAGGCGAACAGAAGGTTGGGAAGTTCGTTACTTTATTGACGTACATGGCGCAGCTGCAAGGACCACTTAACTTCTTTGGGACATTTTTCCGCTCTATCCAGTCTGCAATGATAAATTCGGAGAGGATGTTGGAACTTTTCAGGGAACAGCCAACTGTCGTTGATGGACCCAACACACGCGAACTTCCGCGGTGCAATGGCGAGATTATCTTCAAAGAAGTGAGGTTTGCATACGATACCCGTAAACCTGCATTGAATGGTTTGAGTTTCCATTGCCGACCTGGAACAACAACCGCCCTGGTTGGCGAATCTGGCGGGGGAAAATCGACCGTTTTCCGACTTCTATTCAGGTTCTACAATGCTTCCCTGGGTCATATCCTTATTGACGGACACAAAGTTGAGAACCTAACGATTGATTCAGTTCGTCGACATATTGGTGTTGTACCTCAAGATACCGTTCTTTTCAATGAAACATTAATGTATAATCTCAAGTATGCAAACCCGGCTGCTACGGACGAGGAAGTTTACGCTGCGTGTCGGGCCGCGAGCATCCATGACAAGATTCTCGCATTCCCCGACGGCTATCAAACGAAAGTGGGCGAACGAGGCCTACGTTTGAGCGGAGGAGAGAAACAGCGTGTGGCTATTGCGCGCACGATTATCAAAAATCCCCGGATCATTCTTCTCGACGAGGCCACTGCTGCCTTGGACACGGAAACGGAGGAACATATCCAAGGAGCGCTGTCAACATTGTCCAAAGGTCGCACGATGCTTGTTATTGCACATCGCCTGAGCACGATAACGACAGCAGATCAAATCCTTGTGCTACATAACGGACAAGTGGCCGAATGCGGAACTCATGAACAGCTTCTTAGCTTAAAGGGAAGATACGCAAGCATGTGGCGGAAACAGATTCGTGCCCAGAGAGCAGCTGCAGAGGCGCAGGTGTTACAAGACCGCGCCGAACGTTTACGCAGCGCGCCCGCGGCGGGGGGTGACGACAGCTCTAGCCAATCAGATGAGGAGAGAAATGGCCCGAGTTCGAGACTGGAAAGATCTTCCCTCAGCTAGCAGACGGCAATGGTTATACTCGGTAGAGATCACATGATGAAATATCCTCGGAGATAGCCATCCAGCATTCAGGACCTCGTGGAACTTGTTGACTAGAACAGAGGAAGATGAAACGGAAAGGGGCAAAAGAAAAAAGGAGGGAAGGATAGGAGGTGTTTCCAGTAAGGGTCAGTTAATGCACCTGTGGAATAGTTGCGAAATCTTTTGGCTGGCGTTAGGTGGGTCGGCGGGGGTGTTGTTGGTAAGCCGTGCTCATTTTCTTCATTTTCTTTCTGTTTACGAATCACTTTTGAAGGTGATTTGAAATTATCTTCTGCTGCGAAATTGTATGGTTTTGCCCCGTAGCTTTATTAGGGCCATTCCGCTCTGGGGCGGAACAGTGTTGTGGGGAATTAATGATTGCCTTTTATTAAAAAAGAAAAGAACCCCTCCCCCCAAGTCGGATACTTCTGATGTGGCTGTGGCCGGTTCATAGTAGACCAACATAGACGTAATAGCTAGATACCTTTCAATGCGAAGCAATTAAGTTCATTTTAAGTTGGTTGTTGGGATGATCATGCTGCCAGTGGCGTTGTGGGGCGTCTATATCTGGACAAATGAAAACAAACCGAGAGTAACTTGGATCGAGTAGTAATAGTACCATTATTGCACTTGTCCTGTGTGAGGTGTGATGTGATGCTGAACTTGTAGAGGAATCTAGGAGAGCGGAGAACCAACCAAGCTAACAGCGGAGCGGAACTTTAAGTGTTGCGAGCCAGACTTGGCGCGATATCGCCAAGGCGCGCTTATTCCAAGCTTTGTTGAACCCGGCGGAGGAAGCCAGCGATTTTATAACCAGGCCAAATTCTAATTTACTTTCTACTACATTTTTTCCTTTATCCGGAAGTGATTGAGTTCTGTCCACCTTCATCCATCGGACAAAAGAGCTTCAGTGAGATCGCAGAGCATTCCGTTTATCTAGCATCATCAATTGTTGATTTACCAGGATAATTATTGTCATCTATTACAATATTTCCTAACTATATCGCGCATTGAAAAGAAAGCGTAGCGATTCCACCTCCATCTTCTAAGTTGCCCGACTCACAATGCGGCTCCAGACACCGGCCGCCCGGCTTCTCCGGTCATTGCACTCTTCGACAGCATCGCATACACTTTTACCACCAGCAACACCCGCATCATTCGCAATATGTAGATATTCGTTACGGCCCCGAACTCTCCCTCCCGCAACCCAGTACTTGAACACCCTTAACCAGCCATCTCTCCCTTCCCTCCGCAACTTCACTACGACCACAACCTGCTTCTCCGACTCCTCCAACAAGAATAAAAACCAAGGCCACCAGCCGCAATCCCAACCGCGCAATGTCAGTGATGACAGCAACCGCAACCCTAGTCGCCACTACGTCCGCGATACCGACGCTGACGAAGCAGAAGGACTCGACAGGGACATGGCCAGTGAATCAACGCTTAGTGCGCTGAATGTGCTTGCGGACGTAGCGGCTCCATCGACGGCCATTGATGCGTGCTTGCCAGATGGGTTCCAGCTGGATAATGGGGTGAGGATTACAGATGGAGATGGGTGTTTGTTAGTTGATGGTGAGGTTTTTAGGTGGAGGCCTTGGGAGACCGGCAAAGGTGGTGGTGATAGTGGGGGTGGGATGAGAGCGATGATTAATGAGAAGGGACAGTGGGAGGTTAGTGAGGAGGTTTGGGGCGTGTTGAAGTTGGTGTGGCCGAAACCTGGTGAGTTCTATCCTTGTTTTTTCTATATATTTTTCTTTTTCCAACCGTAGCGTCCCTCCATTTTTGTGAACGGGTTGCTTGTTTCGCTTCTACTATTCATCCTTCACCGAATTATGAAGGCTAATAATATGGCAATGGTTTTTAGATCTTCTTATTCTTGGGTTGGGCGCCTCTGTCTATCCTATCTCTCCAGAGACGCGGAGACAGATTAATCTTCTTGGTATCCGGATCGAGGTTCAGGATACCAGGAATGCGGCAGGCCAATTTAATCTCCTAGCTACGGAGAGAGGCGTGCAAGAGGTTGCTGCTGCTCTGATACCGCTTGGGTGGAAACCAAAACCATAGTATCTATTTGTTGGATAAGGAGAAAGACGTCAACTGGCTGAAGAAATACCTTGTATTATTATTAAAATTACTATTATTTTAACGACAATCTTATTCTTTGCTTTTCTTCCCCCTTGAATCGTATTCCATATCCCGTGTAGACAGAATCATCAGCTCCCAGATCACCCGCGAAAGACCCAAGGATTATCTTGACGTACAATTATAGCCATTCTGATTACTGTGACTACTGATGTAATCTTCTGTGAAAAATATGAACGTAGGAGAATGACACAGACGCTTATTATTTTCGTCTTGATATTCAGCTTTCTAGGTTACGGGGCTTGGCTTAATTTAATTGGTCAACCGATGTCAGTTTCAATTCTCCGGCCATCAACTCCCCAGCACTTCTACCGATTTACCCACCACAATGCTTCCCCAGATGTGATGTGGGTGGTATGTGTCTAGACTCTCCTTAAATTATCGATTTCCGCGCCTTCTTGGGACGACGCACTGGCAAAAATTGCTCTGGACCCTTTTAATTCAAGCCATCATGTCTGACCCCCTTCTCGTCCAACGCTCCCCGTCCGCGGATTCATCAGAACGATCAGGCGAGGAGGAGGACGCCCTCTTAACCGGTCAGCCGACAAACCGCAATGGAGAACGCCATCGTTCGTTACGGCGTGAACTCGGACTCTTCGCCTGGGCCCTCGTCGCAACCGTGGCCGTAATCACACTGGCTGTCCTTTACCAACACCAAAAACTACAGAGCCCGAAGTTCGATCCTGACACGAAACCATCAGGGAAGAGGAATCTCATATTTATGGTATCCGATGGCATGGGCCCGGCTAGTTTATCCCTGACGCGAAGTTTCCGACAATTCGAGAGCAATCTGCCTATTGATGATATCCTTGTGCTCGACAAGCACCACATCGGTTCATCCAGAACTAGATCCACATCCAGCCTGATTACTGACTCTGCGGCCGGCGCAACTGCGTTCTCGTGTGGGAAGAAGAGTTATAATGGCGCCATTTCTGTCCTTCCGGATAATACCCCTTGTGGTACTGTTCTTGAGGCAGCGAAACTGGCCGGTTATATGACTGGTTTAGTTGTAACGACCCGCATTACCGATGCTACACCGGCTTGTTTTGCGTCTCATGCCAAAATGCGATCTTACGAAGATCTCATCGCTGAGCATGAAATTGGCGAATACCCTCTTGGTCGAATGGTTGACTTGATGATTGGAGGCGGGCGATGCCACTTCCTACCAAACTCGACCGAGGGGAGCTGCCGTGGAGATGATAAAGATGTGGTGGAGATGGCTAAATCCAAGGGATTCTCGTACGTTGACGATCGGACTGGATTCGACAGTCTTAAAAAGGGCAGCAACGTCACTCTACCCCTACTTGGCCTTCTAGCTCCCAAGGATATTCCCTTTGAAATTGACCGCCGCCAAGTGAACGATGTCTATCCATCTCTCGAGGAGATGGCACGAACGGCGCTAAGAGCTTTAAGTGAAGCTACAAAGGATAGTGATAAAGGTTTCTTCATTATGATTGAGGGCTCGAGAATAGACCATGCAGGCCATGGAAATGACCCGGCCGCTCAAGTCCACGAAGTTCTAGCATATGATAAAGCTTTTTCTGCGGTATTGGAGTTCCTTGAGAGTGATTCTACTCCTGGCATTCTTGTTGCCACATCGGACCATGAGACTGGCGGCTTGTCCATTGCAAGACAGCTACACGATGATTACCCCGCGTACCTATGGTATCCCGGTGTTCTTGCAAACGCCAGCCATTCCTCTGAACATCTCGGCAATGCCCTTGACGACTATTTGAATGGGGATGGCAAAGACGCCGATGACTCAGCCCGCCATAAATATATCCGCAAGAAGCTTGTGGAAGATGGACTGGGCATTTACGACTCGACGGACTCTGAGGTCCAGAAACTTGTAGATGGCGGAGGAGCCTATGCTTTTGCAAGCATGGTGAGTCGACGGGCTCAAATTGGCTGGTCGACACATGGCCATTCAGGTTAGTTGCTTTCTTCCCCTTTCTCATTAATTTTCCCCTTTATCGCTTTATATTTTCAAAAACGGGGGTTATATATTAACATTTTTATCCGGCAGCTGTCGATGTCAATATTTACGCCTCCTCACCACATGATGCACTGCCCCTAGTCGGCAACCACGAAAATAGCGAAGTTGGTTTATTCCTCGCAGACTACCTCTCACTTGATCTCGATGATGTCACCAAGCTATTAAAAGATAAAAAATCATCCCCACACGTTAGCGCTGATGGGAGTGATAACCAATACGCTTGGATGGGCGAACCGCTAGATGACGATGCCGTCGTCGACACACTCGATAGATACCATGGCGATTTCAAACTAAGGAAACGCGACGAGGCGGTCGATGGTGTTTCCCTTGGTTATAGAGATCTGGAGCATGAAAGTTGCGGTTGTGGTTTGAGAAATTAGTCTTCCTTCCTCCCATCACACCCCGGCGCGCCCTCCTAACCCCCCTCTTCCCTGCGGTGCAAACTCTCAAGCTTAATAATTTCCTGTCTCTTTTGCTATTAATAATTTTTTTAATTTACACTCAACCTTAGCACATTTGTGTGGCGTTTCTGTCATTTCCTCATATCCTCCTTTTCATTTTTCTTAGGTATCTTGCACTACCTTGCATTTCTCGGTTTGTCATTTAATTCCCCTATCCCAAATATTTTTGGTTTCCAAGCTATTGGTTATTTTTCCTTTCTCCACCTCAATCCACTTCAGCGCAGAATAGACTCCGTTCTGTTTGCTCTGCAATAACTTCTTCTTGTGTCTGTTCATATTGTCGTCACCTAGAAAACCCCAATGGTGTATTGGAATAGCAAATCAGTTTTTATCATTACCCCATCTCCAAGTAGTGCTTGCTTCATTTGGGGACTAACGCGTCTATGTTTTCTAGCAATAATTGTTTAGAAGCTGGATGGTGGAGGTAGATAAATAATCTTCTTTCATTAGAGTTGAATTATCTATGACAAACATACGAGACATTAAGGAAAATGACAATCAAATGAGAGAAACAGGCACTCCAAAAATTTCACGTTGCTTCTGGATCACTACCTACCCCTGAAAAATTCCATGCGCCTAAATGCGGCAAAGCGCCAATCCGGATCCCAAACCAATACAAACCACCTCAGGAAGATATCCAAAGCCCAAAAGCGCGCATTTTCATATTACTCCAGAAGGTATCAAACCCCTTCCTCAAAAAAAACCAGAATAATTCCAAGTCTCCCCTAAACGCCCCAGGCGCCACGCAGGTACATGGACATACCACCACCTCACTACACCTACCTACCGTCCCCCTCTAACCCAGTACTCCCACGACTCCTCCGCCCGCCGCGCCCGCCGCGCCCACTTTTCACACCGCTCACACTCCCTTGTCGAGCGCGTCGAGCTCAATATATTCTCGTAACTGCGAAGCGGGACGCAGCGCGGCTGGTCCTCGAACGGGACTATGATGTCGGTACGCATGAGTTCGCGCGGGTCGTTGATGCGCTGGAGTTGGCGGTAGAGATCTGGGCAGAATCTGATAAGGGTGAAGAGGTTGTGGTTGCAGGTATACTTTATTTCATGGTAGTAGCACATTTTCTTTTTCTTTCTTTCTTTCTTTCTTTCTTTCTTTCTTTCTTTTTCGGTTTATCTCCTGTCTCTTTCGTACGATGTGGTTTCGTGGGTGATATTGATGATAGATTGACTTAACTGGCCTTTTTTGCCGCGGAGGAAATTTGCTTTCGTTAAGGATGTCTTTTGATATGAACCGTATCGATGATATGAACACACAAGATGAGCCCTGAGAATATGGTCAAGGAAGATTCACCTCCCATGGAGCGTTAGCATCCGGCTTGGGAGCGACTGTGAGGACTGTGATTAGATACCTGAAGCCCCTTTCTTCAGCAGAACAACTCTATGGAGCTATTGTTCCCCGTCTTGCAAAGATATGAATTGACCGAGATTCAGGCAATTGGCCAAACAATCAACCAAAGCTCCGACTCTACTTGCTGCGGGAGGATCGGGCGGCGATTTCAAGAAGGTATCTCCTTAGATAAGATCGGAAATAACCAAGCCTTCTGACGCGGAGGAGAGAGACAGAGGATAACAATCAGAAGAGAGGGGATATATCTAATTCCAAAAGAAAATCTTGAAAGAAAATAATCGGAAGCAGTTCTGAAATAAAAATACAAGGCAAGAAAAGGAGAAGAAAATCTGCCTCTATGTTGATGCATTTTATACTCAATCTCCCTTCACTCCCCCTTCTCTCCATACCCAGTGCAGTGAATGAAATCTGTGAATAACAGAGAAGTAGTAAGGATAGGAGGGGAAAAAAACCATGATAGCAAACAAAGACTTTCCAGCAGAGCGATAGAAGACATGTACCAGAAATGGCAGTTGGGCAGGAACCCACCCATGGCTTCATTCCATTCCTCATCCCCTTTTTCTCTTTGCCATTGCGCTCCAATCATTGTTCATCTGATGAAGTTTGCCTCCTGACCTCAGTGAGTATACCCTCATTGAAACAGCTGTTCTAGATTGAGCCATTGAGAGCAAGCAACGATATTTAGCGCCAGCAATTCCCGAAGGCCTTCCTTTCTTCCATTGCGATGGAGGGTAGCAAATGGAGGTGAAAATGACATAGTATACTTCCTATCATGACTCAGGCAAAAATCATTAGCCGGTTTCTTCTGGGTAAGTAAGAGAAGAGAATGTGGGTGAGTCATTAGGCAGGAAGTGATAAACTGTAGCTGTGTTCAGATTAATACAGACAAATTACATGTAGATGTGTGTATGTAGAAGGAAGATGTATCCACTTGCAAAATTGAGAAACCTGGATGAGAAATAGTGCACACTGCTTTGTATGAAGAATGAAAAAAAGCATGTGTTTCTTGCTGAGAAAGAAGAGAGCAAACAATGGCCTCCTGAATGATCTTTAAAAATAAAGAAAAATGAAGACAGCATGAGTGAGAGATGAGAATATCCATCAAACAGATACAGCTCAAACAAAATCAAAAGAAAATAGACAAGACTCAAGATAATAAACTGTAAAAAGAAGTAATAGCTTATAAATCATCTAAAGCTCAGTTAAGCTTAACAAGTTGCAGTGATGAAAATGATGATAAACATGAAAGAAGAATAACACACATGAATATCTGAAACTGTAGTTTGATAAGAGAGTGAGAGAAACATCTGTGATAGACTTCTCATACTCTTACATTCATCAAATACTATATTATATTCAGTGCATTTATCACTGATAAAAGTATTAGTATGAAGAGAAAAACAAACACAATTTATACTCATATAAATAATTATATTAAAGTTCTTCATAATTTAATAAATTGATACTTAGTCTTTTGGAAATGTCTGAGTCAGAATATTTGCTTAAAGTGAGAGATACAAAAAAAGTGATAATAAAATAAGAAAGACAGATCTGACTCTGAAGATATTAAAAAGTGTGTGAGTGATCAACTTTTATATTCTTACTTTGAGATAATATCAAGAGACTTCTTATCATTGAAATCAGACTATTGTATATAAATTTAAGAAAAAGAGTATATGTAATCTTTCTGTAAATGACTTTTAAATCATATCACATGTGAAGAGAAGGACAATGTTCAAGAAATACATGTGTACATGAAGAAAAAGAAACATCTCTATTATTTTCATCAATAGAAAACAGACAAAAAGAGTTATAGTGTATGAAGGAATTCATGATGATGATTTAGAAGATCATATTTGTTCATTGTAGCTTGAGCTGGATTGTCACATCCATTATAGAGTTCCAAACAATAGGATCTTTGGCTGAGAATTGCACACGGGGCTGATTTCCACACGAAAACAGAAGCGAGCATAGCGGAAAGGGTAATTAAGAGATAAATGAGATTAATTCAATGCTGGTAGCAGAAGATGAAGCACGCTGAAAAAGGGGACGTTACAGAGAGAACAAGGAAAAGAAAGAAAAGAAAGATTAGGGCATGACAGGAAAATTATGAAAAGTTTATTAAAAGGAAGAAAAAAGAGGAGAATAGAGGAATATATGCCCAAAAAAAAAAAAAAAAAAAAAAAAAAAAAAAAAAAAAAAAAAAAAAAAAAAAAAAAAAAAAAAAAGAGAGAGAGAGAGAGAGATAGAGAGAGAGAGAGAGAGACGCAGATCCATATTAAATGAAGTCGTGTATTGATAGTTATATATCCCAAAACAGCATTAAATCTTTATCCTTACATGTTAACCAAAGCCATTACGGCCACGAGAACTGCAAATATCGATCCTTTGAGAACACGTTCGTTCTGGGATGGAGCACCGCTAGAGCCATTGTTGTTAACTCCTGGGCCAGTGAAATCAGTGGATGGCCCGTCACCGTCGTCATCCCCACCGCCAGAGCCACCGCCAGAGCCACCGCCAGAGCCACCACCAGAGCCACCACCAGGACTTGGGGCGTGACCATTGGTGCCAGGTCCGCCTCCGCTGATGCCAGGAATAACAGCGATATCCGACTCAGTGGGCTTCGACCCAGGTCCAGACGGATAGTCCTTATCCATATCAGTGCCAGTGCCAAGGAATGACTTGAGAACTGTTTTTCTGCCAGAAATCACAACAGTGTCCTCGGTTCCAGCAATATCATCGTAGAAGTACGACTTGTCGCCTTCAATCTTAGCCTTCGCAGGTGGGTCATAGCACTCCATTGTAACCTCCGAGACGAGCGAAAAGTAATAGCCGTGCTTTTGGATATCCTCATGATTCCAGTCCACGAGACCTCCGGCCCAATCAATTGTTCCCTGGGGGGCATCCTCTTTCCCGCCAGGCCAGAGGGAGAGCTGAACGCGGGAAGGAGTTTGTGGGTAGTGGTATTGGTTGGTCTTCTTGTTGAGGGTATCCTTTTTGTTCAAGACGCGTAGAGGCTTTCCATCAATAGACCAAGTGATCGAATCTGGTCTCCAGTCGATCTCGTATGTGTGTTCCTCCGAAAAGGAGTTGCCGCCGACACTAAGATTTTTTCCGTTGGTATCTACACGTAGATCTAGTTAGCCCAATGCTGAAATACCAATAATCAATGCCGACACCATGTCTGGGACCAAAGGTGGAGGAGATGTCATCATACAATCAATGATGCCCTGGAAATACCAGTTGGTCTGAACAGTTTGCAAATCAGTTCCGACCCATTCAAAATCAATCTCATCCTTCACATCAGACATAAGGATGAAGGCAGTGATAACGCCGGCACCACGACTAGTCTTCAATTTGGCACTAGTTTTGCCATACCACATGTAGTGATTGTTGGCAAGATGAGTACCGACGGAATTTGGTGGCATGGTCATTACGAGGGCTCCACTGGTAGAAAGAGTTTTCCCACTCGAGACCCAGTCTGACTTGCCCGCATCGCCGAGATATTTTGTTCGTGGGGCAACTCCGTCCAAGTTGTCAAATTTGTACGTTTTGCTTTTACATACTGGAGCAGGCGCGCATGACTCGATGGAAAATGAAGATTTGGGGTCACAGCCGCCCAGGCAGTAGGCTCCCACTCCACATTCTCCGTATACTACCGGCATAAAAAGAGAAAAAATAACAGGAATTAGTAAAACAACGGACACGGTAATGTTTGATATGGGAGATGTACGAGGGTTAACTCACGGGAGCAGCATGGGGCCTTGTCAGGACATTTGTTATCATTGTCGCAGGGTACTGGCTTCTGTGCGAGAACGACTTGGGTAGAAAGCGCCAAGCACGCAAGATAGGTCAAAAGCCGGGCCATGGCGAAAAAGAGGGTGTAGAAGGAAAAGAATGGTCAATCGATTCCCCGACTGCGAATATATCAGCAGGGGCCAAAGAGTTTGTTAATAAGGCGATAGATAAAAGCCAGAATCGAGTGGAAAAGCCGGTACGGCGGAGGGAGAGAATGGTGGGTGTGCGCGATGGAAGAAGGGGGTTTAGGCAAACAATGAGAGTTAAGGCTGAGCAGAGAAGCAAAATGACCGCTGACTCGAAGGATGCACAAAGCGAGTGGAATGCGTCCTTGAAGGGGGTAAGAAAGAGAAGAAGAGGAACGAAAGAAAGAACGCGTCAAATAAAGACGGGATAGGATAGTTGGGTGAAAGAGTGAAGGGTGAAGGCTGAGTAGAATGGAGAACGGAAGGGGGGCTCTTTAACTGTGTTTGCACCAACCACCCCCCAGGGGCGGCCTTGGGGTCTCGTGCCCTGGCCCAGGCTGCCCAGGCTGCTCAGGCACGATCTCACCTCGCATGCGGCATTACCATGGTTATTCTGTCGTTGACGCCCGCTGCTGGCGCCAATTGGATGGAGTCTTTTGGAGGTAACTCCCGGGCGGACGTTTCCATTCCAAGGTTCGGCAGCTGTCTTCTGATTTGCTTACCGATTCCAGGTTTGCAGAATGATCCACTCACACGCTGACAGGAAAACTGCTAAGGCTGCTAGTGCCCATGCAAACCGACTCTAAAATAAGCTGTGAACAAATCATGTCCGCTTAATTCAGCCATTCTGTCAAGTCTAGTTAGTCGTGTCTTGCAAAAATAGTAAGACTTGCCAGACCCCGCCACGGTAAACAATTATTAATGTGACGCCAAGTCGCAAAATAATTTGTACGTACCGCCTTCCTATCTAGGTTTAGTGAGTGGAATTGTTGTCAAAGAAGATACCTAAGCGCATCTCTGTAATTTTGATTTCAGTATTGAGTGTATTATATTATACATAAATTACATATCTAATCAGATTAATCAGATATTCAGATTATGTAATCTGAAGATTTAGTTAACTAGTTATTATTAACTTAAGTTATGTAGCAGAATCGCGAGGAAGAGGACGGTATTTATCGGGAGAGTAATTAACGCTAGACCGGACCGGGAGGCAGCCGTAACTCGCAAATATGGATAGATATGATATGAACAACGGTGTAATGTGTTTCTCACAGTCAGATGAGACTCATGACAGCCATGAGGCTCCTCAGTCACAGTTTGTTAGACTAATGTTAGTTGCCCCGAGCTCACAATCAGGTTACAGTTTGGCAACCTTGAAAGGTTAAATAAAGTCAAGCATTATTCTGACGCACATTATTCTTATCCCCAACTCTGTGTTAGGGTTAGTGGAGATGTTGGTTGGAGTGACTTGTAAGTTATGAACACTGGTTGACTTCTTCTGCCCGAAAATGCAACCCTTCATTTGAACAATAATAATGGTCCAACAACATCAGTCCTCCTGAGCCGGGCTATCCAGCCTTTCAGTGGGATGAGCATCCATATTAGTTTTGTTGGAGACGTCTTCTCCGTTTTGCAAAACTCATATTCATTCAGATTCTGGGTTATCTAGCAGTAAGTTTAAACCATTTACATGAATCTGATGAGATACAAGAGAAAAGGGAAACTGGAAATTTTTTCGCAAGATAAAAACTCATACTCATTTTGCTTATTACAAACGGAATCCCAATTCTTCCCAATAATATCTCCCAGCTCTAATGAGCCATTTCAAATGGAACCGGGGGTTCCAATCCAAAGCATTCCCAGGTTGGCTTCTATTTCATCCAAATCTCACCCCGTTTTGGGTCAATGTCAGTTGCTTCTCGCATGGGTCGGATGAGTAGTCGACGCTGACACCTGCAAACTGGCTATCGGATCGAGATGCCTTTTGCAGGAAACTGACTCGGACAAGTCTTGCTGTTCTAACACTCTTGAAAACAGCCGTCACTTTAAACATTACCGTCAGTCCTCAGTTGTGAGCTTTCCTTCATGTTGATTAACGGTACAAACAAAATGAACGAGGGTTTAAGGAGGAGCCGGCAGCATGGGGGAAAGAATAGAGCGGAAAGGGGTGGGAGGAAACCCGGTCAGAGACATACCATTCCCCGTATTGAACTTCCACACAAAATCAATCCCGTCAGGTCCAGCAATCCTCTCGAGATCTTCTTCCATCACCCGAAACGAATTGGGCCTCATGAGCAGTTTTGTGCGAGAAAACGTCAACCGACGTCGCTCCCGAAGCCCATTCGACATCTTCTTCAAATCCGCATCCCACGCCCGCTCCCTATATTTATCATGTCTGACCCTGAAGCCGTTTCCAAAGCAGCCATAGCCTGTACTCGCCGTGGCGTGCTTGTCCTTGACCAGAAATTCTTTCGCGTGCGTTGCATATTGGAATGTGATCTCCGCAAACCCGGTGTGATGGTGTATCTCAACACTGTATAGCGCACCTTCGCGGATTCTCGCGGTAAGCATGTTCAAGCTATCAAGAGCAAATTTGCCCTCGACGGTTACGATTCCGGCTCTCGCGCCCCCTCCTCCCATTCCTCCCATTGTGGCTGAGGGTGGCATGATTTGGCGCGGCATGGCTGGCACCATAGTGAAAATAGGGACCAGCGGGATTATATTGCCCTTGGGTTTCCGTGGGGCCATACCGTGGAGTCCATTAGTTTGACAGGCGGCCTGAGGGGGGGGAGCCGCGGCTGCGATATTTGACCACAGTTTACCCTGCATAGGAGCAGGCTTGGAAACACCCCGATCAATCAGACTCTTCTTATCTGGCTCGCAGACTTCCATCAGAATTTCCCCACATTCGTCGCGACAGTTGTTCGCATCGACGTTGCCAACGGTTCCATTCGCCTTATTCTATATAAGGTTAAGAGGATCTCATAAGCCATACAAGTCTCACCAGCCGGGCAGGCTCTGAAAATTCTTGATATGGGGATAAGGAAAGTACATACTTCTGAGGGATACATCACCATATCAGCATCCGTGAGGTCAAGCATGACTCGCCCAAACTCAGCGATAATGTGCTGAGTATACTTTGATATGCAGTTGGCTGCATGTCTGCGATGAATATTGCGCAGCTGTTCAAGGGGCGAAAACACACAAGTTAACATCAATATTTTTTTTTCAATTTGGTTTTTAGGCTAAAAACTAGGAGAAGTATCCATTCCTAGAGGGAAGCCTGGAGTCATTTATATCTGAAAACCAGAAAAGAAAAGGAAAATACGTACATGTTCAGTAACATCTCTCAGATTTTCTAGAACCACCACCATCACATTATCGATACGCTCGGGCCCCTCAGCCTCCATGACCAAGGCCTGGGCCATTTTGGCGATGACAGTGAGCTGAGCAAAGGTTATCTGCACAAAGTGATTAGTGTGCCGAATAAGGCCTGACAGCTTGTCTTCTAAAATGAGAGAGAAAATGAGAGGGGAGGGAGTGACTAGGACAAACTTGTGTGAGAGGAGAAGATGGTAAGCGAGAGAAAGAAAATAAAAAAGAGGAAGTAAATAAAGTACACAGCTTTGGAATGTGTTAAAACAAAACAAAAAGAATTAAGAATGTTGCAGGGAAGTGAAGTTTCCCATATATGGGGTAACAACACTTCTTCTTGTAAGTGGAGCAGCAGCACACAAGAAATGTGTTCCTCCTACATCTCATTCTCTCTCCTCTACCTGTTGAATAAGCTCATATCTCCCCCCAACTTCCATCCTGCATGTTTTTATCCTCAGGTGAGGGGGGGGGAAATATGAAGAAAAAGAAATATGCAATACCTCGCCCATATTTCTGCTCTAGCAGACAATGACCAGCAGCTTAGAAACTGGGATATACCAGGCCCGGACTTTAGCATCTGCTAAATGTAGCTTGACGGTTGACAGCTCTTCTTCCCTTTGTTTTATCTCTTGAAAGCCAACTACCGTCATAACCCAGGCTTCCGTTTTATTGTTATTTCTCTCTTCTTCTCTTCTTCCTTTGATTCATCTGTTTGTCCATTTGACACTGTCTACATACTAACCGCCTATCAATGGAACTCAAGCTATTGTGGATAGATGTTTCCAAAAAAATCAGAACTGTCCTGTTGCAAATATATCTTTCTTGAGCCCACCGTCTCTTTGATGAAAAAAGAGAACACAAAAGAAACTGGATGCAAATAAGTGGAAATGTCTGTTTGCTAGATGTAGAGGTAAGGAGCTATATCAAGTGAAAAAAAAATAATTCATATCTGTTAAAATTTTCCTTGAAGTAAGTTCAGTGTATATTCCACTTTTCCCGAACAGGTATGCATGCACCTACAATCATCTAGGAGGAGCAATAATGAAACTCAGAAAGGCAAAAAATCGAAGACACCAATATCCCGTCTTAACCAACCGCGAAGAAAAGAAAGACACAAAGAAAAATTTTTCCACTTAAATCAACCAACCAAAGTAAAAGCAGTCACTCAGTCGGTTCATCACCTACGTCCCACCCACCAATCTCCTCCGCAGCTCCTTCGCCATGGCCTTCCGCGTATCCTCCGTTCTGGACGCCGCTTCTCTATTCTCCTGCGCCCTTCGAACCAAATATCGCGCGCACTCACTCACTGTGCCCCACACAAGGTACTTGTATGCCTTAGGCGCCTCCACCTCCACCATTACCCCTTCAGCCTGCTGCTCGCGAACAGCCTTCGCCGCGTGCACCAGCTCGCAGCTGATATCATCAGCCATACCTGATAGTTGCCCATAGGCCAGTTCAATCTGGTGCGAACCCGTTGTGCGGTGCTGCTGATTTCGAAGCTTCCTAGCCCGTTCGACGGAGACGCGGTTGTGTGAGGCGAGGACGAGATTGACTTTGGAGAATGGAGGGTGGCCAGTGGATGTGGTCCTGCCTGTGGATGTGGATGTGGATGGGGATGGGGATGGGGATGGGGATGGGGATGGGGGTGGGGGTGGGGGTGAAGGGGAATGCGGCTTGAGGACGTCACCGTACTCTCGTTTAATCAGTGACTCGGCGATGCCGTCGTATGTATTATCGGTTTCTACCTTTGTATCCCAGATTAAATGGCGCGGCTCGGTGCCTAGATATGCGCCCCGGACGAGCTTGACGCCCAGAACGAATCCCTCCGCCTCTGCGATGGCGATATGCCGTGAGAGAGTTGCCGGGGTAGAACGGAGATATGCCTGATATGTCCCATACACCACAGCTCGCTGGTCCGGCCCCTTGTTGTACATTCGCTGGAATTCGATAGTCCAGTCGTCAATGGCAGGTTGGACAGCTTGTTGCTCAGCATCAATCAACAATCTGACATTGCGGGCTTTAGCCCGCTCACAGATCTCAATTATCGCTTCCTTGAGGGCCGGCGATGGTGCTGATCTGCGGAGCAGTTGCTGGACTGATCCTTTCCCGGCTCCCGTGAATTTTAGGGCCACGAAATCTCCATCGTCTGCTAAATCGAGAGTGGCAAGGGTCCCGTCTTTCCAAGCTGTTATATCGGCGATGGCTTGAGCCTTGCTCTCTGCTCCTCCAGCTGCATCGCTAGCTGTACCAAGCGCACGGATCTCACTCTCATTCATCACAATTTCCCGTGCATACCCCAATATGACGCCTGAGTATCCGAGCTCCTTTAATTTTTGGATGTTCACCTTGACCTGGGCCGGTGTCTCTCCTGCACAGAACTGAGCGTACAGCGTCTGCTCCATGATCAGCTTCAATACAGGGTTACGATCAGGATTTAGGAAGGTAGACTCGGGGTTTGCCACGACTGACAGGAAAGCCAAGGATGGGGAGAAGAGAAGAGGCGAAGACGAGATGGTGGTGACTAAGAGGGATCGCATAATCGTGGACAAGGGCAAGATCGAAAGCGGAGGGGATGTTGGCGCGTTTGTAAAGGGTACTGATGAATTTAGGGTAGCATATGGTCTCATCGACCCAGGAGCTGCCGATGGCCCTCCAGCTGCGGGCAGTGGGGGCTCAGACTGCTGTGCCGGGCCATGGTGAGAGTATCTAACCCTTTGATGGTACAACAATGCAGGAGGCCTAACAGCAGTCTGATGCCTAGGGTAAACGAAACAGCCGCTCGCGGTTTTGAAAGCGGCTTGTCTTCGCATTTCGTGTCCTTCTGTCGATACACACCTCTTTTGCTCCCCAGGTACCCTACGAAATGCTTGAACTATATCCCAAAAACAACCTACTCTCTCATAAACGCTGTGGGTGATCAAGCGCTATGGCGTTATATGCAAAAAATATAATTTACCTTAAACGCGGAATAAAGGGGAACAGCCAAAGCAAAATAACCCTTCACGTCAGCAACAGCAATATTCCTCGAGAGGTTCAGATGTATGGGCAGGGGGGAACACGTAATATATATATAATATGAAAAATAAGAGCAAGTTTGTTGCACACTTATTTAGGGGGATTCAGTAGAAAATAGGGCTTAATATGGTGCCAACAAACAACATAGAAAACCCCATCACACTATGCTATTGGAGTTTTACTCCCTCCTCGGTCGCTATGCTGCTTGGGGTGCATTGTACAATAGTTACTCCAAGACGGAGAGCGTGGGAGCAGCGAGCAAGTTGAGGAACGAACATGCCAGAATGAACTGGATATTCCCCAAACGTGGGGAGGTCGTCGGGGCAGGGGAAGGTAAGGCTAACCCCGGATACTCCAGGATAGAGTCGACAGAGGTTGAAGTAAAGTGTTAAGTAATAGTTACGCAAGCTAGTGCTGGCAACAACCGTTTCCCGGACTCCATTAATGTATCATTGGCAGCCTGGGACTGGTGAGACTGGTGAGACTGGTGCTGGTGCTGGTGGAGGCAGACGGATTTTTTCTTATTCTTTTTGGCATTGGGCCATCAGGATCTTTGGTGCTCGTTCTCCTTCGCCTCGTGTCAGATGGGGCTTGTTGGCCAACGTACCGCGCTGTTCCGAGTGTAAGCAGGTGCAAGCAGAGGAGAACAACTCAACTGGAGAGAAGAGATACGAAGAGATAACTACAATACAGTGCGGAGAGTTTTGCTGCTGGCTCTGTGGTGGGTGGGGTGGGGGTGGTTCACCGGGGTGGAGAGGGGGGTCCGGTCCAGACTGACTGCCGAATTGGGGAGGGAGTGTTCTAGAGTGGCAAAGAAGCATTCATTCATTTTAACTATCATTCTTTCCCAGCACGCGAGGGCGAGGGGGGGGCAAAACCTAAAAATATGACCATTTTATGATCTAATTCGGGATCACAAGCGGATTGACCAAACGTTTTAGGAATTCCGCGCCAAGTCATCCGAATGCGGGGAAGTTCATATAGATTCAAACATAGTGGGAAAATAAAGGATGGAAACGGTGAAAAAGTAGCGTACAAGACCTTCAGAGCCACAAGTTTGGCCATTCTGGGTGGTCCGAAATAATATTGAACAGCAGAGTTTCCATAATCACACAGAATAATAGAAGAAAGCAAATAAGAAGAAATGAAGTGACAACAAAGCAAGCGCAAGCTCAACGACAGTACAACTACTGTACTATACTGCAACCCAATTCAGAAATTCTTCAAGGTGTATATACATAATAATAAACAGGAGGAAATCCAAAATTCAAGACGCTACATGTTTTCTTTGCCCCACATACAGAGACCGCATGTGTCGAAATTAAAACAAATCCTATCTTTAAAACTCGCAAGCTCTCAAGATAACGGCGGGAAATTCCTCACAAAGCTGCGCAACATCAGTAATAACGCTTTTCAAAAGCTAAATACAAAGCAATAAATGTTTGTCGGGGAGCCTTTCAAAGTTCCGAGTGGAGAAAACGGTCGACCCAGGCAAGGCGGGGCGCGAGAGCGGAGAGGGGAAGAACGGGGCGGGCAAAGAGGAAAAGGAAAAGGGAAAAAACTCACTGCGCGGGGCACTCATATCCACCGGGATTTCTGTCTAGATATAGCTGGTGATAATCCTCGGCTTCCCACCATTTGCCTGCCGGAACAACGAGGGTCGTCACGGACCGCTTCCACCACTCCTTAGCCACTTTCTCCTTGATCTCCTCGGCAATCTTTTGCTGCTCCTCGCTGTGTGTGAATACCGCGCTCCGGTATTGTGTTCCTATATCTCCACCTTGTCGATTCAGCGTGGTGGGGTCATGCATGCGGTAGAAGAATTCGAGGAGTTGGCGATATGTAACAATGGACGGATCGAAAATTATTCGTAGAGCTTCAGCGTCTGAGTGGGAGAAATATGTTAGAGGGAGTAGAGTAGGATTTAGAGCAGAGCGGGTCTTGCTCTTAGAGCGTAGGGAGGGGGGAACGAAGGTGCTTGGTTATAAGACATACGGCCGGTGTCCCCTGAACAAACACTCTTATAAGTCGGATGCGTTGTATCCCCACCGCAATATCCAACTTTAGCATCCAAAAGTCCTTTTCCATTGCCGAACTGTTTGCGGTAGAGATGCTCTACGCCCCAGAAGCAACCGGCAGCAACCGTGGCCTCCTGGGCATTTTCAGGAAAACCCCGGGCTGCAAGGGATTCTGGAGTCAATTGGAGAGAGGGGGTGGTGGTGAAGTGGCGCATTAATCGTGAGAAGAATGGCGGCATGATGGATGAGAACGGGAGGGCCATTGGCGAGAGAGAGTATGTGATGGGCGGAAACAGAGCTGATCAGTGGTTGTAATAATTTTCAATATTAAGGAACTGCTGGATATTAAACGTGAAGAATAGCAAGGCGAATAGGCGATGAATCTTGCTCATCAGATTACTCCACTCCCGCAGCGGCGTCATCCTAAAGCCAATTTACTAATCAGCCAGAGATTCCAAATCGCAACTCCCGCTCCTGCGCATAACTGGATCGCACGAGATAAATATAAAACTATTATTAGGTATTATTAATTTAACTATAGGTAATCTAAGCAAATATTTTTTTCCGGGGTATACCTTACTTAACTCGGTAGATACACTATAGAGTCTCTATACGCTATGTTCATCATCTGGCTCTGGTGAAAACCATTCCAAAAAAAATCCATTTGGCCCAAATTTCAATATTATGGCTGCCGTAGTTAACTTACTGGCCGAGTTGCGTTTGTAGTGTTAGCGATTGGCGAAATGTTATGATCTTCTCCTTTCCTCGTCCTCTTACATATTTTCACTTGTTATTAATTAATTAGTTAGCCTTTAAATTAACACCCCGAATTGCCACTCGCCAACACTACTCTCAACAACCTATGGCTGGTAAAAATTAGACAAATTGATAAAATAAAAAGTATAAATCACTCAACTTTTCTATAGATTCGTTGATGCTTGCGTTGTTGCTCAAGCCCCACTGTTTTGGACTATTTTTAACTGTGGAAGTGATTTTATATTTCTCATGCTCAGATCATCATAGTAACCTTCCCGCAGGCGTATTTTGGATGAGCAAGCCTTTCGGTCACTGTAGAATCAGGGGCATGGGGTGTAACTCAAATGCAGATAATCCGTAAACGTGATCGCAATCATCAAGGTTGTCTTGGACCTTTTTTATTCCTTTCACGCCTCGTTCCCGAAGACAGTTCAAAAACACCGAATGAGGAGGTTCCTAAACATGGGCTGGAAATGAAGGCGGGCGGAAATTAGCTCTTCCTTAATGAGAGAAAAAAAAATTTCCCGAGCTCGTTACCAGTCAGTTGCAAGTGTTCCTTACACCAAACGATTAGTGATGACGAAGATGTGAAATACTACATGCACATGATTGGAATTAAAAAGTCCGAATCAATCTGATAACTAGTGTTTAACTACATATCCTGAACCGCGTGCTGGCAGCCTACCCTAGTTGGCATAGCGGAACTCAGACAAATGGCTAATAGAAGTCGTAGATTTTTGGGGCATCTACAATGGCAGCTCTGTTTTAACTCGAGAGTTCAACGATGAGAACGCAGGAAGAGACGAGATATATGGAACTTGGCTCGATTCTTTTCTTCATATTTGAGTTAACTAACCCCCACATAGGATTGAGTCATGGTTGGCTCAACGCCTGCTAGTGTTCTCCACATGGAGCTCCGGAACCTTGAGCTTAAATGGACTTCAAAATTTCTCGGAATTACTTGCATGCATCCCACAGTCACAGCTTGCCGTATCTTGAGGTTTCGTTTCATTGGAGAGCTACATATGTCTCACTTCAGTGAGTTGCGTTCAATCTTGAGATCCTCGGGCGGAGAAACTGCAGTTTGTTGTTTGTTACGTGTTAAAGAAGCAAAATGGCTTTTGAAATTTTGCTGGATGTGGATCTAGTTGATTTATCCATGTACCGACACATCAACAGGTATCAAGTCATGAGCACAAAGCGTAGATCCACAGTCTCAAACGCAATTCTCCTTGCTGCAAATAGCTCAAACGGACACTGACATTGGACGACTAGAAGGCGTGGAAACGGGAACAAACAATCGGCAGACTCGTCACTCAAACACAAAGTAGGGAAAGAATAAAGAAGGGTAGATAGGCGCCATTTGGATATATTGAACACGGGCGGCATGGAAGAAACAAAATAAACTAAAAGAAGATACCTAAATTACATACAATTCAAGGGAAAGAAGAAATCGTGATAGGAAGCCCAAGCCGATCCTTTGCACCCAAACACCCACTTATAGCCAGCCCACGAGCGCCAAAAATTAAAAAAAGGATCTATATTAAAATTATAACCACACAGAACTACCTCCACGAACCTTTCGCCCCGGGCTGTAAGCTACCCCGCAACGATCCGCCGCCAGAAATCGTGGCCGAGCTAAGCCGGATCCCTTCTCGGGACCCAAGGCCTATCTGTTTCGCATCCCCGAACGTCGTCCGTCGGTGGCCATTTACTTTCATAATTGGTACGGTCCTCGGGCTCAAAACGCTAATCTTCGAATCATGTTCCTTTTCGCTTTTCACCATCCGTCTTGCTTGGGATGCCGAGAACATGCTGCTGTTTTCATTGGTGGGGCTTGCGCTCGTGGCGGCTGTCGGGCTTCGTCGTCTTTGGGTCCTATTTACTCCAGCCATCGAAGCCCGATGTCCTCCATGGTGGGTTCCGGAAATGCGTCTCATCGCCGAGTGTATCGTCATGGCGTCACTTTTGTCCATTTTCCACCCATCTTCGTTATCTGATGATGACCCGCTGACATTGCTTTTTGTGTTATCATCAGCCTCAGAATGGTCAAGGGATCTGCGATTTAGGAAACTACTATTTTCAATACCACGTAATGGAGACAGTTCGCCGTCCGACGCTAAGGGGAGCCTGGGCAACGCCGAGGGAACTGGGGATCCGTTTGGTTTCTTGGATAAGAAACCGGCTTTGAAACGGCTATTCTTCTGGATGGTGAGCGAGGTAGGAGGGCTGCAGATTGGTGATGACTCCCTCGAGCCGTTTGAGGTTCGACGGGGAATGGCGGATGCCACTAAATGCATTGGTGGCAATCGTGGCTCCGCTGAGGGCGTATTAGCGGGTGATTCCGCTGTCTTTTGTGGAGTCTTCTCGAATTCCGCAAGGGTTCCTTCCTCTACATCGTCCTTCCACCTCACGCTCCGCTTGTTGCTCTTCGTCTGAAGCTTCTTTGGCGTGAAATTGATACCCTTCTTTGGCCCTATTTTTCTTCTTCTAGGGGAAGGCTTGGCTGGGGATGGAGTTACATGAGGTGCTATAGATATAGCCGCGTTAATAGGTTTTGGTAATGATGCGGCCCTTCCCATACTGTATTGCTTTCGGCGCTTAGGCGTACCAGCCTTGTTTGGCGGGAAAACTTCGACAGGTGGCGCGCCTCCATCGGGTATAGCGACGTGGGCCGTTGCGGTTGTGCTAGACCTAAGGAGCTTTCCAAGGATTACCTTGCCAGTCGCAACTGCGTCCTCCTCGCGAAGCTGCATAATGTCCTCAATAGCAGAAACAGTCTCGAAATTTGTTTGCAGCAACATCTGGATCATGGACAAATCACCACCTTTCTCCTGCTCGGCGATTGCGGCTAATGCTTCCCTTTCTGCATTGGACTTGAGTAACTCTGCTTCTCGGGTAAGAGTGGCAGTGTCGACACTATCCGCGATTTCAAGTTCTTGGAGCTGTTTAATACCAATGTCCAGTGCAGAATTGATGCCTCGATCCCAGCTGCTTCTCGCGAGTTTCTGATGATAATGCTGCCTGCTGCCCTCGAGCTCGATGAGTATTCCTTGCGCACTCTTCCGAATGGCCTGGAGGTTTGACAAAGCGGATTCATTTTCTGTAGCATCGCACACACTGTCGAATGCAGCAATCCAGGCTGAAAGAATTGAGATACGACGGCTGACCTGCCTTAAGCGAAGCATGCAATTGACCCTCTCTTCCCTTTCGGAAGCTGAATGTTCATATGCACTACGCAGACGAACCACTCCTTCACGCACCACTATTTCCTTTTTCTCAGCCTGTTTCTTAAACTTCGCGAATGCAATGGTCTCATAATCCTTCTGCTGTTGCTGCAGCTCTTTAATCAACGCCATTTGCTCATCAATTTTAACAAGGAAATCTTTGACATGGCGATTCACGTTATAAACATTTCTGGTAACTTTCGTTTGGATGTTCTTTGCCCGGTTCGCATATCGAAGGGTGTTTTGGGTTTCGTCAAAGTGTTGGCTGGACGGACTGACACAGACAATCATTACCGTCTTACAATTTCCTCCCAATGAGAATTTTAGGAGGCGGGTGAGCTTCGAATTTCGGTAAGGGACATGATTACGCTTCCTAGGGTCGCATAGCGCATTTATGCAATTGCCTAGAGCCAGCAAAGATTTGTTGATATTGGCGCCTTCGATCAGCCTCTCTCCTCTATTTTTTGTTGCACTCGCCCGCTCACTTCCTGCCAGGTCGATAATGCTCAATGTTGCCATCGTGTGTGGCTCGTTGATATCCGCGTTACGGTCCTTTTGCACTACGTTAATTTGAAGAACCGCGTGAGACCGAGATGATGTTGCGTTTGCTTCTGTGGGGGACATTGTTCGCGATTCATTTCCCCTCACAATCATGTCCATCACTTCCTGAACGTTCTGCGGGTGATGGCTGGAAAGTCCGGCAACAGAAACTGTTTGGTTTGCATCTTCTCGGAGCATGAGACCACCCTTGATAGTATTGGTGGTGCTGAGCAAGTCGCGGATGGTCTCGTTGTAGATTTCCAAATATGACAATGATATCTCCGTGACTTTTTCATCTGTTCTGTCCGCAATCCGCTCGAAGAGTTCTTGCATGGTAAGGAAAATAATACCCGGCTGTTGAGCAGTTCCCGTGATCGTGTGGGTTTTTCCACAACCCGTCGCGCCGTATGCAAACACGGTTGCATTGTAGCCATCCAACACGCTGTCTAGAAGGCTTCGAGTTGTTGCTTCATACACATCCTCTTGGGTTGTGTTTTCGTCGAAAACTCTATCGAACATAAAGGTCTGGTCCTTCACACGTTTTCCGTTCGGGACAACGGATCTGGAAAATCGATGTACTGGGTTGTCCTCTGGTGGGTCAAAAACCCTGAATGACGAAAGTCAGGAGCTATTCGCAACCGTAACTGGGGGGCGCTTTACTCACAAACACTTGTCATCCATGACCTTTATTACAGGTCGAATGCCTTTCTGTATCAGTTTCGGGGTTGGAACTGCAGCCAAGGACCCGTCCCCTAGGAAGAGCATTGAATCATCACATTTTGTAAGTTGTGCAGCTTCTCGTATCGTAAACGGCCTGACTCGAACGGTCACTGAAATAGAGGACGCACCACTCGAGGCCGCCATCAGGGATAGGTTGTATGAACAGTTGCTGTCGTCTGAGAATGTTGTGTAAACTGGTGAAGTATGTATGCAATGAAGTGAAAACGCAGGAAAGATAAAATAGATAAAAAACAAAAACAATCTAAAGGATATCCCCGAATGGATGCCGGGAGAAGGGAAAATCTAGCTCTGTTGAAGGTTAATAGTATTGTCGACGGGGGAACTTTCAGCCCATTCATTGGAAGGTCTGTCTGTCTGCCGCTCGTCAAGCCCGTCAGGGCATTATTTACGGGTTCTGTTGATGCGATGCGACGGGTGAAAATAGTTGATCCGACGCCGGTTGCCATGGCAGCCGTGCCTGCGTGGAGATTGGGGAGAAGTGTGTGAATTTAAGTGTTTTGCACCCCAATTTAGTACTTACCGTAAATGCACACGCACTTCAGCTTGTCCTACAGCGTACATTATTGGTGCAGCGGTCAGAAAGTAGAAAGTATCAATCCGTACGAAATTAGCCAGCTAGAGTTCATGCCCATTCTGCCCATGGCATTCCGCATCATTTGGCATCGTAACCCTGCTTGTCAACGTAGATATACAGCGTAGGGACCTCGGTATATCTGGTTGGTACACATGAAGCCAATGTGTCTCTGGCTATTGTGAACTGACTATGAATTCTTAAAGCATGGAAAACCCGACGGCTAACCCGCAACTAGCTCATTGTAAGCGCATGGGTATGGAATCGTACTACGTATATGTGCACTTTAAAATGTTTTTGCTCTCAACTGGGATGACCCGCGGTTTGTAACAGTACAAATAATGTATCAACCTCGTCAGATAAAACAATTTACCAGCAAAATCTAGGTAGTTTAGGCCCCAAAGAGATGAGTATTAAACAGATATGGCCAACCCCTAACTCCATACTCCATTGAAATTTACCCCAGAATGTCAGCATCATTCATCATCTTCAGCGTCGTATTTTGCAATCATAACGTCCCAGCCAGGGTCATCAAACCCAATCCCTAGTTCATCTTCATCCTGGCCCTCAACTGGTTTGCGGAATCTGAACGCTATCGCTTGAGAATCCTTGAGCCCTGCCTCTTCGGGGCCTGTGATGGCTGTCCTTCGACCCCGCAAAGGCTGCTTCTGCTTCCCGTTCGCTGATTCTTCCGTCGTCGGTCTCAACTTTTTCCATCCTTTTTCCAAGTTGTTTCTGTCAAGAGGTACACCAAACTCGATTTCAGCTGGATTTTCAGGAACCGATTGGCCGTTGATTTCAGTAATATTGCGAACTTTGAGAGCCTTCAGGATTTCCTCTTTTATGGAATCAAATGATTGGGTGGGCGATACAAGGAGAAGGATTGTGACATTGTGGTTTTTGAACCTGAGAGTCCATTTGAGCGAATTAGGTTCACTCTTAGGCGGTGTTAGTAAGAATGCAATACCACATACAACAAAGGAAATAATTGCACTCACCATTTCGAGTATAATAACCTGCTTAACTCTCAGGCCAGGCTCAAGTCGTGGGGAGTTAGCGATTGTTCGATAATGAATTCCCATTTGTCGCGTGTTTGATCCCTGGGTCGCTCGCCTCTGCCGCCCAATCGGGGCTAGCCTAGAAAGCCCAAGCTAATAAACTTCCAAGTTCAACGAAATCCTGAGCTGCATCCGAAACGACGCCGGGCCTATGTTTGATATCAATTTGGCCAAAGTCACCTAATACAATTCCATTTACGCCTTAATATCCTTTCTCTGCTCTACACAATCCCTGAGGACGTATAGCCATGGGATCCAAACAGGATTCATTGCCTCCAATGGACGGGGATCAACCTCTGAGCCCCATGTTCGGCCATACCAATGCCTCCCCTCCGCGCCTCGGCATCGATCCAATCGTCCGCCTACCAATTACGATGGGCGCTGCGTTCACTGCCGGCATGGTTTTAGGAGCTGGCCATGGTAGCACAAGGGCGGCATTTCGATACCGTGCTGAGAACGCTCATCGACTACCAACCACAACCATGGGCTGGTACCATTATCACAGAAGCAAGAACTACAAATCCCTGGTTGGGGGTGTAAAGGATGGAATGAAAATGGGCATGAAGCTTGGGGCTGGCGCATTTACGTTTTGCTTGTTTGAGGAAACAGTTGACCACGCACGTCACGGCCGACGGGATTTCCTTTCTACGGTGACTGCCGGTCTTACTTTCTCTGGCCTTTATAGCTTGCTTGGTATGTTATCATTGCATCTTTTGTCATGGATCATTCACATTCCCGTGCTTGCGATATGTGTTTATCGAGTTTTATCGATCGTTCTTTGCTAACCAAGAATGTATAGCTCATCACGATGTATATACAGCTGCGCGAACGGCGAAGCTTGGTCTGACATTGAGTCTCGCCTATGGATTGATCCAGGATGCTCTCGCGACGATGAAAGGAAATCGACCCGATTATGTCGATTTTATGTACCGGAAATTTCGGCCAGGGAATGAAGGTGTTGATGCCGCTTAGCCTGGCTTCTTTGGCTATCCTTGTGAAACGTCGCTGAAAGCGTATTCGAAGCTAGAGGTGCTCCGACGGGGTCGAACCATATAAAATCGGGAAGCTTTTCCCCGCGTGGTCATGACGGTATACTTTACACAGCACGATATGGCGCTGGTTTTGGGACCCGATACTCTCCTCTTCGATCAACTCAACATTGAGCATCGCAAAAGGCTACTGCAGCCTGGGGTATTATTATGTCAAGCACATTCATCCATTAAAGAACTATTATGACTTTTGTAGTATGGCCACAAAGTGCTACCAAAAAATCCTGAGTCGACCACGGCCATCGAGCGGCATGTCAGTTTCGCTCCGCTATCGGGTTATACCCCTCGATCAAGCCGCAACCCGGCCGAAGGACGGTATCCTGCCGACTCTACCGACTGTCCTTGACCCAGCCCTCATGACAGGGTTCCCACTCAAGTACAGCAAATTTGCGATACCGTTGACTCACCCCCAGGCAATCACTCTGGCTAGCGCGTAGCTAGTGAAACTGATAGAAAGTCCCACTCTAGGGATAGTATCGCCGGTGAATCCGAACGTTAACCACCAAACTGCGTATCATGATGATCGTGGAACATCCCTATCACAAATGTTAGATGGCTATACAAGTGTTGGGCTAACCATGTTCTCCGCGATGATCATAATTGGAAATTTCTATTCGAGGCACCCAATCCTACCGCGCCGATCAACCCTAGGCCAAATTTCCCCCACTATATGATGTCTCCGAGATTTGTAAAATGCAGGCCTCCTAGTACGAGAGATAACTTCACCAAATTGGGCTACCGGCTCTCTGCAAGGCATGGCACAAAATGACCATATAGCTTTACACGCCCTACTGGGTAATGGCTGATATTTTGTTACACTTCCGCTCAAAGTCAAGTCTAGATTGCGAAGGTATAGCCACTCTACCCACGATAGATTGCTGACTTAGTTTCTGTATCTGATAGTATCTGATATTCAATTCTTTTTGGTTTTTTGCTTCAGCCTCCAAAATCTCCTGTTTCTTTAAATCAGCTTTATTTCGTGCCAACTTGTAAACAGACTCGGCACATTCCAGCTGTCTTCCTTGTCCCAACCGTCGTCGTTTCCAAGCTAAGATAATCGAGTATTTACACTTAGGAACGTGGCTACAGGACAGGCTGGTATCAATGCCCAAGAATCCGTTTGATCAGATAACATTATCAGGCCCGCCAGCATTGGCCTCATACAGATATTTCTAGGCTACCGGTGTCTGCTAGTCAACTTGTTGTTGAATGTAAAGATAAATATCGATGGGCGCCGCAGGTAGTGGCTGCCTCTGAGGCAGAAAGATCGGTGTGGACTCCGGTCGAGTCCAATGTCAAATGGGTTCGGGTATCATCACAGTTACGGAGCTTATACTCAAATGGCCAGCTTATGTGGACGGCAGGTTATGACTAGACTTGAGCTTTCTTGTGATAGTAATGGTGAATGAATGAGCTCCTCTCAAACCAATCAGCAAAGGTACGGGCAATTCTTTCACTCATCCAGATGCTCAATAAAAATAAACCGTTCGCCAGCCTGCCAGCTAGGACCACGTTTCTAAAGAGATTTGATATACTTTTGAAAGACAGCTGTCCGTGTGCTTTTCAAGATCCGACCGGCTAAGAAGGGAGAAGAAGGCGATGAGATACATGCGAGACCCATGTGTGGAGTATATAATAGAGGAATGAACATGGATTCGATGGTTTGAGAAAGCAAGCAGGAAGGCTTGAGAAGTTGAAAAGGGCTGTTGTGGTACAGTGGCATCGAAACAACTACGGTGAAGTGTCGATAGCGCTTGTACGGTGTTCAGTAAATAGAAATGAGCCGTTCGGGACAGACCAATTAGTTATTGTGGCGGACATATTACTTGCGAAAACAGAATTTTCCCAGCCCCCCCTGAAAATTAGTAGCAAAACACCACCAAAAAATCAAAATATCCGCATTTCTCTAGAATCATTCAATATCATCCAATACACGTCTTTTTCAATCAAATATCATCCAAATACGCGTCTTTCTTACCTTTATCATCAATATGCCACCTCAACTCTGTGATTTCACCACCAACGAGATTGTACGCCTTCTTAAGGATGGTTATATGCCTGCTGAGATCGCGCGAAGCATTGATTGTCACCTGGCTACTGTATATCGAATTCAACGAAATCTTCGCTGCTTTGAAACTGCTAGAGGACCCCATTCAACACGCGGTGTAAAGCCAAAGATCACACCAGATATCTTGTCAGAATTGGAGGATTTTTTCGAGGCGTATCCAACTGCATATCGCGATGAGGCTGTCTGCTTTGTGAAGAATGAATTTGATGTTGATATCCACCCGCGGTCAATATCTAGAGTGTTGAAGAAACTGAATTTGACATGGAAGAAGATGATCAATATTACAATCAAATATCACTTGATGTATAGAACCTACTAATCCATTAGTTCTATAATATAGGTTGAACCCATAGCCACCCAACACAATGAAGAACTTCGAGCTGAATGATGTATTCAACTCACCCAGTATCTCCCTGATCAACTGATCTTTTTGGATGAGAGTGCTGCAAACAAATGTACAGCGGATCAACGATATGGATGATCAAGCAGAGGATTCCCTTGTCACATTAGAAGGCCCTGTAAACGATCTCGAAGGTGGTCAATCTTACCCGCGATAACTGTCAATGGATATATTGATTATGATATATATCAGGGGTCCTACAATACAGAGAGGTTTAATGAGTTTGTACACATCCAGATACTGCCCAAATGTCAATGAGGTTATCACTACTTAGTGATGAATAATTGTAATACTCATCAATCTCAAGAATTGAAGAATCTTTGCAGAGATGCAGGTGTTGGACTATTATTCTTATCATCATATTCATCTGACTATAATTCTATAGAGAAGTCTTTTCACATGTTGAAGAAATGGATTAGAAGATATAGAGATCAGTTAGATACTCAGTTTGATGAAGATTTTGAAGCTTTTTTGCATCATGCAGTTGAGAACTTTATAAGAGAAAAAGATGCAAAAGGATATTTCAGATCTGCTCATATAGAATAGTATTGTAATAATCAGAAAGATTCAGATTGCAATTCATTCAACTATAATACAGATTTAGAGGTTGAAGCAGTATGAGATCTGCTCTCATCACTACAAGCAGTTGATAGAGATGATTTGAATTCCTGTAATCTTGCCTGCCATAATGAACTTTTTAATCCATCTCTTATAATTTGAAATATATCCTTCCCAATATTCATATCAAGCAACTGTTCCCTTGTCAACATCTGTAGATGATTCAATTCAAATCCTTCCTTCTGAAGAATGAACTTGGCATCTAACAAATCAGAAGCTTTATTAGGTCTCCAGATTGTCAACCATTTGAAGTATTCATCAAAGAATAAATCTGCTTGTTCACCAAATTGAGGTATTGAACTGCTTCGAATTGGAGATGGATTTGATGGAGTCAACGGCGGAATCGATGAAGGGTTCGACAGCGGATTCGATGGCGGATTCGACAGCGGATTCGATGAAGGATTCGACAGCGGATTCAATGAAGGATTCGATGAAGGATTCGACAGCGGATTCGATGAAGAATTTGATGGAAGATTCGATGGCAGATCTGGACATGAATGATAATGAGGTTGCGAATTCAGTCCTTCTATTCCTTCCATCATATATTTCATCATCATCACATTGATTATCTCACTTGGAAATGTCATATTTGATGAAGTTGAAGCTGCCGGAGCTGAAGAAGGGAATATAACTGCTGGCAATTGAGGGGTCTGTATAGAAGGATTGAATATAGAAGTTATAGGTTCATTCTTCTGACCCTTCTTCTTCTTTCTACTCATTAATCATTTTGTCATCTTTCTTGAAGGAGTCTCAACCATTGCTTTACCACATTCAATATCATCTATCCAACTTGCAATCTCACTACTCAGAAGTTGAATATGAGTATCATCATATGCTATTCAGCAAGTGCCCTGCTCAAAGTTATGACAATTCATCTTTTGACAACACCACTGAGCAGTTATCTCATGTTCAATCTGCAAAGAATCTCATTCCTTTGATTGTTGATTTCAAACCTTCTTCAGTTGTTGACTGGTGGCTGTGATTCTTGAATGTGTAGATGGCTTTTCATCATCAGATATTTCATGGATTCGAGGGGATTTGGCAGGACGGTGGTGAGGATCGCAGGATGGTGAGATTGTGTCTTCTTTGACATCAAGAGCTCTTTTTGATGCCAATGCCTGAGTTGCTAATTGTGAATCTGGCACTTCAATAAAAGCTGCAGGACCGTGTATTACAGATGTGTTTGAAGATAGTGTTGAGATATCAAGAAGATTGAAAGAAGAGATGACTTCAATGATAAGATCACTCATCTTCTTCTTATACAACTCCTTCAAAAGACCAATTATCTCCTTCCAATCCTCCTCCTTCTCAATGGTGATTTTGTTGGCCTGGAATCCATGTTTGTATGATGTGATAACAGCTGTATGATCTACAACTTCCACCTCCTTGCAGATCTGCTTTGCAATATACTCCTCAGTCATCTTTTCTGCAGTATATTGAATATGAAAGAAGCTGATAGTTGGATCATTTGCTGAGACAGTCCGGTATTTGGTCTTGACAGAATCCTTTATCCCATTGATAATCACCCGTTCATACAATCTGTATGAGATGTCAGGCTCAGGTGTAGGAATTCGCGGATATTGAGGATCCTCAGACTGAGTCTCTATATCCTCCTCATCCACCTGCTCCTCCATCTCATCATTGACCGGATCCTCTCCATTATCCGGAACTTCTGGAACAGGTAGTTTGAGGAGACTGAGGCGCAGGGTAGGAGTCTTTGTACGGGCTTGCGAAGCAGCAGGACGGCGGGCGTTGCGAGGCATATTGAAAAAAGGGTTGATTAATATATGTGGATTTGATGATAAAGGTAAGAAAGACGCGTATTTGGATGATATTTGATTGAAAAAGACGTGTATTGGATGATATTGAATGATTCTAGAGAAATGCGGATATTTTGATTTTTTGGTGGTGTTTTGCTACTAATTTTCAGGGGGGGCTGGGAAAATTCTGTTTTCGCAAGTAATATGTCCGCCACAATAGGAGTCACTGGAAAGCATATTCTTACGCTGAGGCGTGTGACGGCTGATTGACCAATAATAGAGTACGAAGCATTGTTCGTTCTGTTAAATCACTTATTTATGGCTGAGGTTCGATCAGTCAGCTATTAATAGTTGTGCACCCTGCTGCGGGCGTCTGATCCTCCTCACCTTCACAGTTCTTACATTTGGCCGCTCACCTGATCGATCTCAGTTTTAGTCTCGATTGACGGACCCTGGCCTTGCAGCAGGAGCTGGGGTGGAACGTAATACTTAAATAACTGGAAATATGTCGGACACACCGGTACAGACACAGCGATCTTGACGACGGGTTAAATAAACAAGACAATCACAGTAGCTGCTCGGTGAAACGGGAAGAGCATGGAACGACACCAACAGCACAGCCAGGTAAATATGAATTTAACAGTCACCATCGTCACGTTCGTTTCTAGTGGGCCTAAATAGCAGAACAACTGACAATTTTGACAGCCGCCTCCATTTTCAATTCAGCTTCTGGCGAGCGGATTAGACGACTCAAGCATCACAGCTGAGAACAGAAATGACAAGCTCTGGGCCGTCTTCCCTGCGTCTTACCGCACTGGCGCTGATGACCTTGCTGCCCCGAGTCATGATTACATGGCCTGTATCGAAAAGGAGCTCGATGTGCATAGGCTGAATAGAATCTTTCAATGGCTGTGGGTGGTGGGCCGACCCATGCCGCCCCGACCTCTCCACTGCCAGCTCCTGCTTGGACGCGAAATACTCGTCACAGAACAGATGGACATGCATCTCGTCTGGACGGAGGGTCGGGTATACCTCAAACCCATCCCACGCTTCCTACTTGAACCCCATTTCTGGACTGAATATCTTTCCTGCCGGGACGGTTGCAGCTGCCTTTATCATGAGAGTGCCGTTGGTTCACTAGGGAGCGCCCGGGAGTGCTCCCATCGAAAGCTGCGGAAGTCTGCACTTGGATTCTTGTACACATATGCCGCACTGATCTCTCATGAGAGTGACTTTCATATTGCAAAGGACAAACGACTGCTCCCAGCCGACGAGAAGCACTTGACGTGGCAAGGGTGGAGGACTTTTGTTGAGCAACTCGACACGGCGTGCATCTACCCGAACATTAGCCTGCGATTCATTTACGGTGAGCTTCGCCTCAGCCGTCTGAATAACATATACCGTTTCACACAGCGCCCGTTGCTGGGTGGTTATACGAGACACTGGCACGAATACAAGACCTTCTTTCGGGACAATTTCACTTTGCTAGCATCTGCAACAGTATACATTGCTATCGTCCTCACTGCCATGCAAGTCGGATTGGAGACAAAAGGGCTTAGCGACAGCGCTTCGTTTCAGTCGGCATCATACGGTTTCACTGTTTTTTCCATTCTGGGGCCACTTGCAGCCACAGGCTGTATCCTCTTCTCGTTTTTCTATTTATTTGTGAACAATTTGGTGGCAGCTCTAGCTTACGAGAAAAAAAGGTTTCATCACATCAACGTCAGCTCCGGTGGACCGTAAGGTTCCTCGTGGCCAGGAGGTTGCTAGCACAAGTCGCAATCTTTTACGATGGTAGAATTCACTAAAGCCATCTGAGAGTTAAATTATAGGCGTGGGTATGCCGGAACTCAGGGGATGTACTAGCTAACTAGATTTAATATTTGCGATATTATCCGTTTTGTTCTCTTGAAGCAGCAATGAAGTATAATAAATACCCTTAAAACGTTTCTTGAAAGTTAGCGTGCTCTTTTAAGTTGAAATATAATTGAGGCGAGAACTCAGTCAGTACTGGGGCGAGTGGAGAGCGTGCGCATTACTCCTGTTGGGGGTGCGGATAACCATGCCTAGCCAGCAACCGTTCCCCGCGAAACGGATGCCAAGCCTGAAGCTCTTTGGCGGCTCCACCCTTTCCCTCTCGCTTCTTCAGCGCCGTTCGCTGGGCTCGCCACCCCTCACCCCGGCCCTCGTCCCCTCTCATGCCGTTTCGTTTGCTTCTCTTCGGCTTCAGGTCTGGCTCTTAGGTTTTATATTGAAATTAGTTTGCTTGGAACTTGACCCTGGTTGTGGTGGCTGCATCTCTTTCCAAAAAATTTTTAAGGTCCCCACGGTTTTATGAACGCTTCCCTGCATCCGCTCCGACCATTATTACTACCTATTGCTGCTTTGATAGTATGGTTTAGAGCTTCATTCAGCCCAACCGCCGGATTCGATCAGATATATCTATACCTTCTTCGGTAAGCTACCCGTGGACATTTAAGCTCGAATGCTACTGACAAAGCTCTTGGACAGCACTGCTGTGACCATCGTCGTACCATTTTGAATGCGCTAGATATGCTAATTCCTCTTTGAACTTTTGCACAGGAATAATATTATTTAATATTAGTTAATTCGCGCCTTCTCATCCCCTCTCTATTGATAATATCAAAAACCGAAAACCTGCAAGAAGAAGAGGCAAAGAGAAAGAGGGGAAAAAATCGGTACTGCATGCTTGCGACAGAATAGTGAATCAATCATAATGTGTCTCCCTCTTGCATAGCCATCCTGCATATAAGGTCTCAGTCGAGTCCACAAGTACAAGGAACGATGAGGCGACATAGTAGAGGGAGCGGCGGACCTGCTGTTGTAAGCAAATCCGCCGCTCTGGGCTCCGATCCAATGTCTCTCATACGAACTTTCAATTCAGAAACAAACCCATCTCGGCCCGTACGTCCCTCTCCCCTAGCTTCGTCGCAGATACAAGGAATGCCTCTCGATCTAATCGACCGAATACGTTCATTTCCTCTGTTTCAATCGACACCAGAATCATTCCTCGCTGAAATTGGCCTGCACCTGCGTCCGCAACTAAACTCCACGAACGATTACATTTTAACAGAGGGAGATGAGGCAAAGGCAATGTATTGGCTGGTTCGTGGAGCGGTTGTAGTCACCTCGCGGGACGGTGAAAGTGTGTATGCGGAGCTGAAGCCCGGTGCCTTCTTCGGAGAAATTGGAGTGCTAATGGACCGGCCTCGCACTGCCACCATAATTGCCCGCACCCGATGTTTACTTGTCGTGCTGACAAAGGATGATTTTAAAAAGATTCTTCCCCGCTTTCCAGAGGTAGAACAGACCATTAGAGAGGAAGCTGAGGAGAGGTTATTGATCTTGGAAAGGAAGAAGAAGGAGCCACTAATGCAAAATGATCCTCTCGGGACCCATAGGCGGGTGACAAAGAGAGTTCGCGATTCCTTTTCTGGAAGCTTCAGTTTTGACGAGGACGGCCACTGTTCGAGTAATATCAGCAAAAAACGCAAATCTCCTAGTCCTGGTTTAGCTGAGAATTCGAGTTCAAGCGCCTTAGCCAATGGGCTGGTCAATGTTCGATTATTGTTAAAAGAGCTACCTTTATTTGCCGGTCTCCCGTCCAATATTCTCCATTTTCTTGGCCTCAATGCGCACCCGCGAACATATCAACCTTTCACAGATATAATACGACAAGATTCGCAGGGACGCGAGATATATTTTATCGTACGTGGAGAGGTGGAGGTTCTAAATGAGCATCCAGATGGGCGTGGAGCGCGTCGGGGCACGGACGCTGAGGGCCGGCGTGAGGTCCAGGTCAAGGCTCGACTAAAGGCTGGACAGTATTTCGGGGAAGTTGTGAGCCTATCACTGGCTCCTCGCAGGACTGCCACGGTTCGCACGGTCACGTCTGTTGAATGTTTAATGATAAGCGCGGAGGTGCTCTCGGAATTTTGGGATCGATGTCCTCCCCGTATCCGGGAACAGATCGAACGCACAGCTCGGAAGCGCTTGGTCACTACGGACGGTGACGTCGAGATGGAGGATGTTGCTGCTGATGCAGTGCCTCCAATGGATGAACTCGTAATTAACGAGAACTTCCATGGCTCGGTTAGGAGGCAGTCAATGCCTCTACTCACGCTCACTGAAACAGAACTCGACAGTCCGCACAAGTCAACACGAATAGAAGATCGACCTATCCTAAAGCCCTCTGACCCTGACCCCTTCCTAATTATCGGCTTGGATAATGTACGATCTCGGTCTCGACGTGGCTCTCTTGCGCCAATCGTGCCTGATGGATCTTCGCTACCTCAAGATCAGCGACAGCAGTCTCCGGTGAGGCCTCAGTCCGGCGCAGCGTCCCCGCCAAAACCAACAACCTTTAACATCCCCAGCTCTGCCTTTTGCCCCACGCAGTCAACTACCTCACATCATGCCAAGCAATTAAGTAAATGCTACCTTAACGATGACATCCTAGTCTCTATATTCCAACATCTTGAACTTCACTATCTCCTTCGCCTCCGGGTCATCTCGCGTCACTGGTCTAACATGATTACCAAATCACCCCTACTTCTGCAATTTTTAGACCTCAGCTGCTACAACCGGAAGCTTACAGACGACATACTTTCAAATATCATTTGCCCCTTTATCGGCGACAGGCCTCGCTCTATCAACATGAATAATTGCTTTCATATCACGGATGAGGGTTTCAAGGCATTAGCAAATGCTTGTGGTGGAAATCTTATATCATTGAAGATGAAAAGTGTATGGGATGTAACAGCTTCTGCCATTTTGGATATGGCCAACAAAGCGAAATTTCTGCAGGAAATTGATCTGAGTAACTGCCGGAAAGTCAGCGACACGCTTTTAGCTAGGATTGTCGGGTGGACCGTGCCTAATCCTTCATTCGGACAGCACTTTCTGAACGGAAAATCCGTCCCCAATGCTAAGTGGGCGGGTGTAGGGCTAGTCCAGAACATCACTCTGCAGAATACCCCTGCCAGCGGAACGGTTGTGGGGTGCCCGGGTCTTAAACGCCTGGCTCTCTCATACTGCAAGCACGTCACAGATAATTCCATGCTTCATATAGCGTCCCACGCTGCGTCGCGGCTGGAAGAAGTCGACCTAACAAGATGCACGACGATAACTGATAAAGGCTTTCAGTTCTGGGGAAATGCGCAGTTCCTTCGACTACGGAAGCTTTGCTTGGCAGACTGCACATACTTAACCGATAATGCTATCGTGTACCTAACCAACGCAGCGAAAGGGTTACAGGAGCTTGACTTGGTAAGTCTAATTCACCAACATAGCAACATAGTTTATCTTTAATCGTTATAGTACTGGAAGACTAACAATATTGAAGTCCTTTTGCTGCGCCCTTTCCGATACAGCCACTGAAGTGTTAGCACTAGGCTGCCCGCAATTGACGCATCTCAATTTATCCTTCTGCGGCTCAGCGGTTTCAGATCCTTCTCTGCGCTCTATTGGCTTGCATCTTCTCCTTCTGCAAGAGCTGTCGGTCCGTGGGTGCGTGCGGGTTACCGGCACGGGCGTTGAATCTGTCCTCGATGGATGTAACTTCCTTCGTGTTTTTGATGTTAGCCAGTGCAAAAACCTAACGCCGTGGCTAGATTATGGCTTTCATAGGAAGTATGGAGATAAGATACGGTATGAGACAATTTCCAAGAATGGTAAACTGGTTCGATGACAGGGCACAGGGATACAGTTCTATCAAGTCGTGTATCCTTCACTCCCTTGACGGCCATCCCACCCTAGTAGCTCCTTCCTTTCTATTTTTAACCCCCCATTGATATTCTCTCCTCTTCTTTTTCGGATAATAGTTTACTATCTCCTGATCATTTATTCCCAGTGGCCCCTCTTCTTTTCACGACACTTAGGTTTTGTAGAAGCTGCCGCGGAAAAATCATTTTGGCTTTGACACAAATACCCGACCTGTATTGTTGGATACGAATTTGGTTTCCCTCCCCAATATCTACTGGTTATTTTTTCTGCTCTTTTGGATTTTTTTAAACTTACGACAGACATGATATCCGCACCACCTGTTTACTTCTTCATTTCCTCTTCATTCCCCCCTCCTGTTTTTTTTTGGTTTGTTTATTGCATACACAACTATATAGTTGGTGTCCGAGCCATCTGTCGAGGACGTCGGAATGCTCTACTGTTTCTACCGCAATGGAGCCTTGTTGTTCCTAGTTCTCACTGTTTTCCTGGCGTTTAATAGAGGACGGATTTCACGGAAAACTCGTTGATCAGCATATCTGGTTTCTGGATTTCAGTGAACTGTTGCCAATTGACAGATGCTCACATCCTTGCATTTTAATTTTCTATTTTTTTTTTCTCGCCCCCTCAAAGTCAATATGTTCTCTTTCTCCCCTTGTGCTCCTTTCTGTATACTTTGTTGCGAGTAAAAGAATTTTCCTTTTTTTCCCTGTTTTTTCCATCTTTTTCTTTTCTTTTCTTTTCTTTTCTTTTCTTTTCTTTTTCTTTTTTTTTTTTTTTTTCATCATAACGCTGCCATTTAAGCTTGTTCATTGGTGAATTTCTCAAGCGGTAACTCCCTTGAACTCTCAGCCTTGGTGAGGCAATAAATGTTTAGAGGAAGCTCGAGAGTATTAATAAAAATACCACACCATCTCGTGGTGTTTTGAAGAGTTTGAGGCTTTTGTTGTCCCTTTACTTTCACGCCGCCGCGTGCCAAAGAAAGAAAGAGAGCACAAGAGAAAAACCAAAAGGCGAAGAACAAAATGGCATTGTTTTCTTTCCTTCTAAAACAAATGCCATTGTGTAAGTGGACAAAGAAAATGCACAACTCTCCCTCTGCTGAAGTTGTGCACATCATGAGCTGTCAAAGAATATCAAATATGTCAGGGGAATTTGGCCTGAGACAGAAAAAAAGAGATATTCGATACCTGGAAAATTTTTGATTCTACAATCTTTCACTTGGGTGCTTAAAGGAGAATAAGCAGAAAAAGCTTATCGAGTCGTTTCTATTGTTGTTTTGTCAAAGACATATCAACTTTCTCCTACATACTATACTCACTTCCATCTCAACCCCCTTTCAACCAGAGAACTCCATAATGTTTTGAAATATTTTATTTCTTTTTTGCCATTTTCTTCCATGTCTTCCCTATATAATTTAACTGCAGGAAAGTTCCGATATGAAACTCATTATCTATTCACCAGAAATCGTTCCTGGAAGTGGAGTATATATCAGCTTCAATTTGCCCTCGACTATGTTGCGTTATTCTCCATTTCCCATTTTCATTGCTTTGAATCTTACTCTCTAGAAATACATGCCAGGCGCAAATTAGGCAATATCCCCTATCTCTTGAATAATCTTTCAAGTTATCTTTTATATTTTCTTTCCTATTTATTTATCTTTTACTTACTTCTGGCTATACTGCCCTGCACCCCAACTTTTCCGGAAATTTCACTCCCCACACCCCATCCACTATCAAGTTGAATGATGGCACCCTCCCCGAACAATCCTGAGGACATTAACAATTCTCCGGGCGATAGCCTAAACTGGCCCGATATCGTGGATTTTGGGCAGGAGTCGACGAATGACCCCCAATTATCAACAGCTACCCCTAGGCATGATCGAGATTCTCCTGAGCAAGAGCAGAAAGTACCCGTTACAGGACCAGCTGCTCGTGCGCCCAAAAAAGCCCAAAAGCGAATATTCAGTGAAACAGATACTCAAGAAGAGCCGCGTGACGACTCAAAGAAGCACAAATTAAACATCGATCAGGATGTTAATGTGTACAACATTAGACAGCACGTGGAGACGGCCTTGAAGGTGGAAAGGTTACGTGCTAGGAAAAAAGAGGAACGACGCCGGAAAAAACCCACAGATGTAAAAGAGCATACGGAATATAAGAATACAGAAGATGAGGCTACAGAAGATGAGCTGGAGTCAGAAGACGAGCTACAAGAAAACAATCGACAAGAAGACCTGTCAGAGTGGGGGGTGTTGGGTGTGGGGCCGCCGAAGTCGGATGAGCTCGAGGCTATTGAGGAGTGGCACAAGAAGAGGATTGAATCGGATAGGATCGCGAGGGACGAACGGAGGAAGAAGAGCGAGGAGGAGGAGAAGAAGGCGAAGGAGGGGGGCGAGGACAAGGACAAGGACAAGGAGAAGAAGAAGGAGAAGAAGAAGAAGGAACCACGAACAATTGAGGCATGCAACCATTGCAAGGTATGTGTTATACAGCCTGTGTCTAATTTGCGTATTTTTTTTATTTCACCTCCCTGTAGCCTCAACTCTTCTCTTGTTCTGCCATATCTGACAATCAGCAAACTAGGACAAAAAAATTAAATGCAGCGCCAATAGAAAAAAGTGCAAACCGTGTAGGGATGCAAAGAAGGATTGTTTTTTTTCTCACCCTGCATTGGGTGAACCGTGGAAACGGGAATGGCCTGTACATCGATATGGAGAGGTAGAAGCCGAGCGGGACTACTATCGCAAAAAAGTAAAACATCTTGAACTGCTTGTCGATTTTCTACAACCGAGGGCTGTACTGGGCCCACGAGACAAACGCCAAATTGACGAATGGGAAACAAAGCAGGAAGCAGCGGACATTGAGAGAAAATGCGTCATGGAGGAACGACGAACGAGCCGAAGGAAGTATAAGCAAAAGTATCTTGAGCGGAAAAAAGAGAAACTCGAGAAACTCGAGAAACCCAAACAAAAGGGAGGCGTAATCGAAGATCCCGCACAAGCAGGGACACAGAAAAGACAACTTAATAAACAACACCTGCAGCGACAGCCGCCCAGTTCAGCAGTAAGAGTCCCATTATTTTTTCACAAAGAGCGATTGTTCCTAATTCCTGTTACTGACTCGTAAAACCTAGGAGAGGCCAGTTATTAATGACCCGAATGAAACACAAGTTAGCCATGTGCCGAGCTACACACAAAATCCTTATTCTAACTATGCAGGTGTGTAGATCCTATCACAAATATGGTTTTCCGACTCAGCTCCTCAATATCGTTGGACTTCTGAAGAGAGCTAATAAATTTTTCTTTCCAGAACCGCCCAGTTTCTCCGAGCAATGGTGGGCCCCATTGCCTACTGACAGGAGCGATGATGAGCTCGACGCAGCACTTACAAACCCCGTCACACGAAGACGGCCACAGCGGCAGCCGCAGTCCCGGCCGCCGCGTGCAAGACCTAGTGGGCAACGGCCCGGGCAGGCTCGCCCCACGGTGCAAAGCATTGATTCTCAGGCAACACGGGACACGGGTAACCCACATGTTCCCTCATACCTAGAGTTCCAGCCGCAGCCGCAACAGCAGCCACCATACGGACGAAGAGAGGGAGCACAGCCTGAGCAGACCTTTCAGACACCCTCACCACCGTTTGATGATCCTTCCCGGTCGTCCTTCTTGTGAAGGCGATCCTCCTTTGAAAAAGGACATTTTTTTATTTTTTATTTATATATTTATTAATTTTGAACCTGGCTCCCACTGTGATGATGATAAGATCATAATACGCAATTGGGGAAAAGAGCGTCGCCGGCAACTTGTATAATTACTAGGCAGGAAGACAGGAGTGCTGGTAAGCATTTTAATAGTTCTTCTGTTTACCCTTTTGCAGATTCCTCATCTTCCCCTCCATCCACTTCATCCAGATTTCAGATCCTTGGCTAATTCTTGACGCCATTGTCGGTACTCATAGGTTACTCTCACAGATTATGAATCTCCTGTTAGCTGATTGACTCCTTGGATATTTTATGGGAATCTGCTTCATTTTTTCTTCTTCAAATTCCCTGGTTTGAATTGTTTGGTTTGTTGTACTTTCTTTTGTTTTCTTACATGCAGCTGGCATTGTTTCGGGCATGTCTCTTGTCTTATATATGTCGCCCTTTTCTTTTTCTTTTTCTTTTTCTTTTTTTCTTTTTTCTTTTTCTTTTTCTTTTTTTCTTTTTTCTTTTTTTGTTCATTAATGTCCTTATTCTCATATTTTTGTTGTACAGTACATACATGGCTGGGTGGGTGGCTTCAAGTGCATAGCCTTCAGAGAATGGCAGGAGTTTTGGGATAAAGATGTTGTAATCATTGGCGTGGGCAATGCTATTATTTTCATCCATGCAAACAAACTCTCAGAGAAATGTCCCTTACGTATAGAGTGAGAAGAAATATGTTGTGTAAAATGGGTTGTAGATAATGAAGAACATAGCCAAATCCACTTGGGGATAATAAAACATGTTAGAGGCTTGACATGGAAGGGTAGGTCTTCAAGAAGAGTTATATAAACTGAGGCACAAGGCTCGAATTGAGGAACTACATTTGTTAATATAAGTGAAAGAGATGTTAAAAGCATACATTGAACAGTATGAGTATTCAATATTTTAAGGGGCCATTAGCATTATTTGCATCTAGAGACCAGTCGACCAACCGGTTGATCCACGTAAAACTGGAAATGAATACCATAGCCTACAGGCCTGTATAACCAACCACCAAAATAATATCTATATATATATATATATACAGTCATGAGTCATAGCCAACAAGCTGGATTACTGAAAATGTCATGGGTCAATGCGATTTCGCGCTGGCCTGCTTTTTCCAAACACAACAAATCCCTTTGCTCTCGCACCACTCTCTCACAACTCCGGCACCGACCTCCCGATCCTCTCCGATGAGGCCAAATCCACCGGTGTTGAGCCATGCAGCTAGATCTTCGAGCTGAATCGGGTCATACATGAGAATTTTCTCATACCATGTAGGCTGTTTCAACCCTTTGAACGCTCTAATTCGAGGTTGAGATTGAACTGCTTTCGTGATCTGGCTAGAAAGGCTTGGCAGATTCGTGGTAGAGGATACAGAAATGGAAGACTTTGCGGAACGTATGGCCATTTGAGTCGTAGGAGCATGTATTTCATCACAATCCTGCGGGTGGTGCAATGTGCCGTTCCCATTAGAGCTATGAGAAGGTGATAGAGGAAGGGCTTCTCCAACAGAGTCGCTTGATTGATCATCGTCTATGAGGATTGCGCATGGAGATACAAAACGCTTCATAGGCAACTTCGATGTTATTCTTGGACCTTCATTTGATAAAGAAAAACTCTTTGATTCCTGAGACTTCACCGAGGTTTTCGCCAGCCGTTTTTTGGGAGACCGTGTGTTGACGAAGGAAATCGAATCAGACCGTGGCTTGAGGCCTAATAGTTGCCTTTCCGCAAGATCATCTCCCTGGCTTTTATGATTGCGCTGATTCGGCTTTGGCTCGAGCTTCGATGACTTAGATTGGTTTTCCCAGCACTTTTCAAGGAGAGAGATCATCTTATCCCTACTCTTGATAGGTTTAAAGCCATATGCAGCAACCTGCTTCGCCAATTCTGATGTTGTAAACCCGCCGAATATAGGTTTATCCGGAAGAGGACGCTCAAGCATTGCTTCTGAAATATTTGCAGGGGTTTGGGAATTGAGTTTCGCGTTAGTAGACTCCAGATTCTCTCTGTAGACGAGATCGTCTTCTGCTAGGGAGGGTTCGTTCATGTTATCCAATTCGCGCGTATCAATATTCGCCGCTAATGTGCGAGTATCTTTCTCAACGTCAATCACATTTTGTCCAGAAAGATCCCGAATACCTGTTTTCCGTTTATATTTGGCCGCGGGGGTAGAAACCTCGATTGAACGCTCCGATAAATCTATTTCATCAACCTGGAGGACAGCCCCTGTTAAATCTCTAGAGCTCGCAGACCAAAGATTCTTCGAACTGGATAATCGAAATAAACTCGAGCCCAGACCTTTGGAAACCGCTGGCCTCGGAACAACATTGCTTTTATTTATCGAGTCCGCGGTGTGTTGTATTTCTTCATCCTGGTCTTCCGAATGGCCATGTTCTAACTGGCTTGAAGTCCCAAATAACAATTCTTGTCCGTCAAATGATTTGAAAGCCTCAAGTGGGGGAACTACCTTAAATACCGGAGGTCCATTCCCATTCTTTAAAGTATCTGACTTCCCTCTAGCTGCATTTGCACGTTCCGTCCCCGATGTTCGTTTCGTTACGCCCATTTTCTTGTTTTTCCCGGAGTTCACAGTTTCAATGCGATCCAAATCGGCTGTTTGATCTACCACACTATACTTAGCAGTAACGTATGATGTGAGTGTAGTTAATTTTGCCTTCTGCGGCTTTTTGACTTTCACTCTCTGTTGCTTTGAAGAGATGCTCTGAGAATCATTAGTGGCGGGCCTACTTTCGGTCGGAGTTTGAATGCCTGAGGCGCTATAAAAATTCTGAAGCTGCAACACAGTTAGCAAGCGTTCCAAGGCAAAAGATAACTGCAAAAAACTGGCATAATACCTCCATCAGACGTTTTGTCGTGGGTCCATTATCGCAAGTCTCCGGCATTGGCGCTAGTGATGTATTTACTACTCCGCTGAATCCGTAATTAGAGAGCAGCGTCCCAGCGCTGTGCGTCCTAATTACGCTCTTGCCGCAAGATGAGGAGTGAACCTCAGCCAAATCAACCATTGGTATCGGCCCCTCTTTCGTAGGAGTCCAATCGAGCCTTCTTTTGGTGGCTTTTTCGAGCTGTAATCCGCCCGTTTGTCGCTCCAGTTCATTATCCGTGTTATCGCCAACAGATGGCGCTTTATTGTCGCAAGGTTTTGATGGCGGAATTTTCGCGTCTAGCTTGAGGTCCCCAGGAGATTTTACTTTCGAAACATGTCCATGCAACCTTCTCTCTGCTACGCCATCTTGTTTCCTTGTGCGTTTCGCTGTCGCCGCTTTCTTCTTTCGCGTCTTTGGGCTAACAATGAGCCGATCGCCATCCACGGTTTGGATTTCTGTCTGTGTGGCCATTTTATGGCTCGCTGTTCTTTGTCCGTGTCTCATTGTACTCGCAGGTTTAGCTTTTGATCCAGTTATAGATTTATCCTGCCTCTTGGGGCTATCTACTACGAGGGAACTATTTTGAAGAACTTCAAGGCAAGTTGTCTTGGCTCCATCCATTTGCAAATTTGATATTTTGTGAGATGGTGATTTCGACAGGCTTGTCAATAACGTCGAAGGAGATGGGGGGCTGAAAGGTGACGACGGTTCAATGACCTCTGCAGTAATCGGAGATGAGTGGACACTGATAGGAGTAACAAAGCGCGCAGAGCTTCGGCCGTTAGATGGTGGCGTGTTGGATTGACTTGCTATGGCAGCGTTATCCATTGTTCCGGAAACATATATAGGAGTATGGATGACTTGTAAAAAATCTCCAAGGTAGTCATCATCTATTAGAGCTGTAGCGCTGGTTGGAGTATTCGATGATTCGATGTCGATTTGAATGTCTGACGTCGAGTTTCTGGAACTGACAAGGAAATCTTGGCGCAAATTGAGATATTGCCCGATTGGGTCAGAGTGGCTTGCTGGCCGGGCAACCACGATCTACTGTCTTGCGCGCAATGAAAAGCTACGAAGTCTGTTTGCTGTATATACTACGTAGATGGATGTGTGGAGGAGTTGTTGCTTGAATAATTGTAACTCAGTTAGAACTATAATATCTTGTATTTAGCGGTGTTTCTACCGATTGCCTCTATTCTTCCCACATTTGCTGGGGTTATTTATTTTGCCCATGCATTTATCTGGCTAGCCCACGTTGTTGCTGGCCTGATTATGGGACCTACTCAATTTCCTCCCGGGCGAGCTGCAACAATGAGCCACGGTCAAATACCAAGAAAAAGGCCCAAGCTCCTGCCACCATACAACACCGCGGCTGGTTCGCCAAAAAGAGAAAGAAGAACCCTCAAAGTATCGTATATAGTTTGACTGAAGGCCTGTCTGCTGCCACGAGAAACCATTATATATCCCTCAAGAAGGATATTCCTTACACAGCTCAGAATGCAAACCACAGGATCATCGTTAAATCGTGCGCGGTGGTGAGGCAATCGAAGCTTGCAAAAGAAATCCAACCGAAAGCCGAAGCCTTGAGACGGGAAAATATCCTTCGATACCCTTCAACAATTTTTCAAGTCGAAGTCAGGCAACATCAGGATCAATCACGACCCTCTCAAAGCCATGAGGCCAAGAATGGTCCTCTCGAGATCTCTCATTTCAATCCCCGCTGGCGTCTTGGAGGACTTCTGGCCAGCCTTGCCTGCTTCAACCTTCGGCGCCTGATTCACATTCCCCGAACCCAACTTATATGCCTTCCGAATCTTCCCAATATCTGACACCAGACGGAGGTTGTCGTTATCGAAATTAAGCGAGATTCCCTTGATCACTCTCTCCAGATGCTGAGCTACGGACGCATTTGTCACCTCTGGTGACGTGGAAACCTTTACCACTAATAAGTCCTTGGTGGTATCCGTCAACCCAAATTTGCGAAAGGATTCTGCAATCTACCGAGCAGTCAGTAACACTCATCTATATATCAAAGGAAACATTAGAAGGACGGACATTATTGTTAGCGCTGAGAGAATATACTATTTCGGAATGAACATTCTTCGACTTCAGTCGGTTATTTTGGTGGTCATTAACTGCTCTGAACACAGCCGCAAGCAGGTGGGTGGTGGAGAGTATCTATAGGTCTTTGGTTAGATTTTTAAGGGAACAAGATACCCCTCGCGTGCGGGGCCACTTGATGGGGCAATAATCCCACCGTTGCAGCATCGATGAAGGCATATTCGAATTCAGTATTTCCAGAAAAGAGCTGCTCCCTTAAAAACGATGCATTTTCGAGATCTCGATATAACGCGACATGCACTGGACAGTTCGAGGGAACATGAGAAAGCTGGATGGTCTGAACGGAGGGCATGGTGAAAGGATTGTATAAGTTAGTGCCTCACATTCAAGGAGAAATATTGTTGTTAAAAGCGACCAAAACCAACCGCATGGCCTCTAATATGACTTAAGGTTGTACATCAAAACAGTAAATTCATCAGCAAGCCCAGTAATAGTTATCCCCACACTCGTTGAAGTATTTTCTTGGCAAAATACGTCACGTGATAATTGCATCATTTCTGGAATATTCCGGATCCCGTGATTTGTTGATGGATCCATATCCAGATCTTTCAGCCTTCAAGTTCTGTCTTCCTGCATCGATCAAGAATCCATCCTCATCTCGATCTCCTTATTAGCCATGATTTTTGTTCTCCGCCGGCCGTTCGCCGTCTCCACGGCTTTCAAACATATTCCAAAGTCATCAAATACGACCTCTCGGTTCATTCATAGCTTTCCCTTCAAACAAGAGCCATCCTCTAGGACTCAGCAAGGGACTTCCACCTTCTCACGATTCCACCAAACATATCAAAATGCTTTCCGCCGAACATACCGGCAAATACCCTACCAAGCAGCGCAAACGTCAGGAAACTTGACGCAGAAGCTGCTGTATGGTGCTGCTATCGTGGGAGGCACCATCGTTGTGACAAACATGATCTTCAACCGCGAAACCAGAGAAGATGGCGCCATGCCACTCTTCGAGAGACAATATCTGAATCAAACCTTTATGCACACCGGCCTTGGTATCGGAATAATCGGCATCGCAGCACGCGCTCTACACACATCTGGCTGGTCCTACAGGCTGATGGCTACGAACCCGTGGGCAGTTGTCGGGCTGAGTTTGGTAGCTAGCATCGGGACGATGTATGGGACATTTTACACAGCTCCTGAGAAGTAAGTAGGAATGAATTCTTATCTCCTCCTCCTCCTCCTCCTTCTCCTCTGCCATCCGCCATCTTTCCCCTAACGAGACTAACATGTTCAAACAGCTATGTCCAGAAATACGCACTCTGGGGCGCCTTCAACCTAACCCAAGCCGCCGTCCTCTCCCCGCTAATGTTCATGTCCCCCGCCCTCCTCGCCCGCGCCGGCCTCTACACAGTTGGCATGATGGGCTCCATCGCCTTCGTCGGCGCAACGGCCAAGCAAGAGAAATACCTCTATCTCGGCGGCCCCTTGCTTGCCGGCGTTGCCGTCGTGGCCGTGTCTGGTCTTGCGCCGCTCGTACTCCCCGCTACAGCGGCCCGATCACTCATGTGGTCTGAGCGCATCTGGCTCTACGGCGGTCTCGCGGTCTTTGGCGGCTTCACCCTCTATGACGTCCAGAAAATCCTGCACCATGCCCGCATGGCGGAGCGGGGCCTGATTAAGAAGGATGTGGTTAATGAGAGCATTAGCCTTGAGTTGGATTTCTTGAATATTTTCATTCGGATGGTGCAAATTCTTGGTATGAGGGGTAATAACCGGAAGTAGAAACTTCGCTTCGAAGAATGATAGGTTGGAGATTGGGGACGTAGACGCCAAAGAAATGATGGATGTTCGATTCCGTCCGTCCATGCAGCCATCGAAGACATTCTGGAACAATAGAACTTCCGAAAAGATACGGACTTGCCATATATATTTGCTACGGTCCTCCCCACTATTTCTTGTGCTCTTTCTCGTCAAGCCGAGATAGCGAAGTGTGGAAAAAAGAAAAATCTTCCGTCACTCTATTTTTTTTTCAACAAGAACCATAAAACATACTTAAGAACTCTACCTAATAGAAAACATTATCTTCATGTATATAGCTACCTTTTTTCCCCCCTTTTCTCCTTGCTGGTGTGTTTGAATGACACTGCTGTACTGTACAATACAACGTCTATACAATAGTTTCAAGACTGCAAACCTTCATTGATATTAAAACACAAGAACAACTTTATCACACAAGATTGCTCCAAACCACACGAAAACGGATATGAGGCCTTTGTAATTATATATATATATTTATACATTTTCTCGTACATAAAAGAACAAAAAAACAAAAGAGGGAGGGGTGGGAAGATCATGAAATTAAAAAGAAAATGAAATATTTCATAGCAACCGATGATAATGTAGGCTACTGGGGCAAAAGAGCTCTGTCACCACCAGCGCACTGCTGGTAGAAGGGCCGATCAACCCGGGACCCCCAACACCCCCCCTCGGACCAGCTACCACAGAGTACAGTACTCCTCTCAGTGGTCTTTCTTTTTTGGACTCACTCCTAGGGCTCATTCTTTCAAGGGCTAACTCCTAGGGCACACTCCTAGGATGTCTCTTGGCACTGTTTAAATGTCCGGGGTATTTGTTTTTGGGATTTATATTCTTAATTCCATCCTGGGATTGAACCCATGCATGTTGACCACAGCGGGGCTCACGCTTAACGGTCTCATAACCTGTAGGCTACTGGGGCAAAAGAGCTCTGTCACTACCAGCGCACTGCTGGTAGAAGGGCCGATCAACCCGGGACCCCCAACAGATAATATCATGCCGCAAAACATTGCCCGTGCCTGCCCGCGCCCTCGTCCTCTCGCGCGCCCAGTGCCAAGGCCAAGCGGACACGCGCGTTACGAAGACAATTCCAACGAGGTATAGAGTACGGATAGATATCTACATCATACCGTGTCGCGAGACGTAAGCAAACATAGGGGGAGGACGAAGGCAAGAAACCTGGCAGGAGGGAAAAGAAAATAGAAAAGAGAAGGAAAAAAAAAAAAAAAAAAAAAAAAAAAAAGGAGAGAGAATCCCTTGGATCTCATAGCAAACCAGCAAATCCAGCCGTCAATGCAGCGCCAAACACGCCCACCGATATCCCTCGTGTTCCTCCCAACCCCGGCGCCCCGGATTTCAAACTCATAGTACCGTCCGGCGAACCCTGGCCATCAGCATTGTGGTGCGCCGCCCCACACAATCCGCTCCCATGCATCTGATCAGCGGGGAAAAGAACCCTCGGCAGCCCCTGTCCCATCTCAAGCCCAACCGTCCCCCGATAATCGACCGTATAGTTCTTACAACTCAGCACTTCCGTGATGACTATTCCAGGCGTGTAGGTATTGTGCAGGTCGAGGCGGTAGTTGCCGCCCTTTTCGCCCTGGTTGGAGTAGACGACGATGACATGGTGGCCCTGGCCACCCTTGCGGGTAACAATGGTGCTGCCGTCGGTGTAGATGGGGTATGATTTTTGGAGGACGTAGTCGGGGCTGACGCGGATGGCGTGGGCGCGCATCTTGTTGATGGCGGCTGTTAGCTTGTAGAGGGGGGACTTGGTGTTGTACTTTGATGTCCAGAGGGCTTCGCGGTTCTCGGGGGTGCTGGCACCGGAGAAATGTTGTTCTTGTCCCTGGTAGTAGAGTGGGATTCCGTCTGAGAGGATTGTAAACGTTAAGACGTTTTTGGCGAGCTGAAGGAGTGTGATCTGGATTAGTGGCTTTCGCCTGAGGGGAGGGTTATGTGAAGGGCTTTTTAATAAAGCGTGGTGCACATGCAACTTACAGAGAGATCCTTGGTATAAGATGGAAATCGTGGAAGGTCATGATTCTCCGAGAAGGTTGCAAGGGCGGTAATGTCATTGCAGATATCCTTCGCAGCGGAAAGCGTTCTTTTGAGCGCTGTGATATTTCCAGCAGTAAAGGCTTCAATCATTCCGAAGTACACGGGGTAATTCGGCACGCTGGGAATAAAATTCTGATAATCACAAGTGATAGCCACATCGGCTTCGAACACCTCCCCTGTGGTGAAGACGCCAGACGCCTTGGCAACCCTCTCAAGGTATGCTGTGCCGGTGTGTTTTGCAGCATCTATCCGGAGGCCATCAATTGAATACTCGGCAACGAGGTTCTTGACCCAGGTCTCCATCATCTTTGTGACCTCTTCGGATTCCGTGTTAAGATCCGCAAGCGCAACAAGATCATCACCCATCCAACAATTTTGCGCCTCTTTGTAATCGTTGTAATCTTCGATCTTACAATAAGGGTGAAAATACTTTTTGTCGTTGAATGGTTTGAAAACTGAGTAATCAACCGACGTAGCAGGGTTGCTGCCATTGGTCATCACTGCCATATTATTGATGACAATGTCGACCATCAAGTACATGCCGCGAGCATGCAGCTGCTTTCCCAGCTCCAGAAGATCCTCGCGTGTCCCGAAATGACTATTCAACTGATATAGATCTGAAACCCAATAGCCGTGATAGGCTTCACCATAACTAACTTCGCCTTCGATATTCTTTGAGACTGGTGATATCATGATCGCATCAAACCCTAGGCCTTGAATATAGTCCAATTTGTTGATTATACCTCTCCAGGTTCCCCCGCAGAAGAAGCCTTTCTTGGCGTTGCATTTTGCAGATGTAGAGCCATCAGTCCTCGCGAATCTGTCCGTGAAAACCTGATATATCGACCTAAGTCTCCAGTCGTCCGTGTTCGCCGCTAATGAAAGTCCAGCAAGATGGCATAAAATAAGAAGCCCAAACAGCCGACATGGATATCGAAATAGTGAAATCATTGCTTCCTCCGTAATTTTCACAGATTTCAATTTTCTCTAATGCGAAAAGAGACGATTTCACCCTGGCTCACCTGCGCACAGCCAATAGAAAGTACCACGTTATGTATGTATGCGCCTAGGTCTACCACACCCATTCGCTGCTCTCTAATAGCATGCGACGGCCGGTTTAAAGGTTCGGGGGGGAGGACCACGGACTAAACGTGGTTTTGGAGGATTAGGATTGGTCTATGATCCCGTATTCAGAGTGAGCATTCTAAGGGGATGGCGGTAGTTGCTTCATGAAGTGAAAGAATGGAATTTCCTCGAAATTTTCTTTCTTCTCTTCTTCTCCAGAATGAAGATCCCTTGCTTGGCCCCTGAAGTAACGAGGGGCACGAATAGTTAGTGCGAATATCGATTCTGACTCTCCAGATACGAGCCGCAAAAGAGTCGTGAGAAAATTAGGCGCGAGGGAGCGTCTGAGACAAATAAAAGAAATTGGCTTTCTGTCGAAATGTTGAACCTGTAATCATTCGCGGCAACGGTTCCCAAAAGAGTGGAAGGACTTTATTGAGGAATATGAAAGGAATGTGGTAGCTTATGGATAAAGCGCAATGGATGTAAAATAAATAGGATATCAAACGAATGGATAATGTTTAGAAAACGAACGGATAGCAAGCGCTGAAAGTGAACAAAAGTCGAAAGGGAAAAAATG